CGGGGGAAGCCATTGTAATCCATAAGTCGTACTTAGGAAATTTACATTCATTAAATAAAAGATAAAAAAAAATAATAACTAAGTGAAAGTTTTAAGAAATAACACTTCTATAGCATGATTGGGACTAAATGTGATTACAAAATTCTTTGTGTAGGTTACTAAAAAGTCCCATGGCTACCATATAGATGATTTCTTCTATTCATGCAATGAAGATTTATTGTGCCACACAGTGAAACTGAACTCTCAGCCAAAATCCACACAGCAGTCCTTTGCTAGCACCTGTATCAGTTTGTGTGGTTCACAGCTAAGAGCAGAGGAGAAGAGTTTAAATTATGAGAAATTCTTCTCACATAAAAGTCATTGCTGAAACTTAAAAACTTGAGAAACATGGAAAATTATCATAAAGAAAATTGTTATAATACCCTATGTCCCAGAGATCTTGGATCATAGCTGATAATCTAGTTATGCTTTTCTAATGTGTACACACACACAGACACACACATACACACTTTGGTCTTCTACCTTGAAAAAACATGTGCAGAACATTTTCTCATCATTCAAAATTCTCCCCAAATAATGCATTTCGATGGCTCCACAATGTTCCATCACAAGGATTTACACCACATTTTTCGTTGGAAATTAGTAACAAAAGAAATATTTTACTTGAAGGTCTAGATTACATAATCAAGTGATGACAGTAAAGCAACAGAATTACTAGAAATTTTAATATTTTCAGAAGCTGTGGATGTGACTGATTTGGCTATTTTTCTTGTCTTCTCAACATTCCTTAAAACGAAAGTTCTATTCAGCTTGTAACTTTTAGTTAACTTGGAATCATAATTATTTGCCATTATTTTTTTCCTTTTTAATTTTCCAATTGTGAACAAGGTATTATATTAAACAGGTTGATTCAATTCCACTCTAAAATCCATGGTCACTTTTCAAACTTTCTCTAATTATAGTAAATTGTTCCAGGAGCATAATTACAAACTAACTGGTTCTCCAATGTGGTCTCTATACCAGCAATATTAGGAACACAAAATTTGCTAGACTGACATTCTTGGGCAGTGTTACAAGTCTACTAAATCATATTTTCCAAAGATGAGGCTCAGTAATCTGTGCCTTAGGAAATCTCCATATCATGCTGATTCTTGCTCAAGTTGGAGAGCCAGTTTATCATCCTACAGGCACAATATGCTGTTGAGATGTACCATTGACACATAAGCATAACTCACCTAGGCTTCCACTAATCCCTTTCACAGCCTGAGGCATAACATTTATCCTCGTACTATGTTGATATGAGCCATTTGTATCCATTTTAATCTGAAAAATTTGTTGCAATCACTCCAATTGGGCTTCAAAAATTATAAGCAAATTTCTTAAAAGGTCTAAAATCAAATAGATATTTTCTTCTCTTGGCATTTCTATTCTCAGGTAGAAAACTGCTTGAAAGGGCAACAGTAAATTTGGAAGCTACTAAATGGTTCGTTGTGTATTTATCATGTGGCAGGTGTACCGTGCTATGGAGTTATTTCTAGAAAGCTTATTGACAAGATAGACTATTTTATAGAAGTTGCTTTTACTTCCTTTTGCTTTTTTCTTAACTTGAAAAATACTGCTTTCAAAGAATGCTACTCTACAAATCCTCCATGCAAGCACTCTATGCGTCTTTAAAAGAAATAAACACACGGGGGCCCGTGCTGTGGTGCCATGGGTTAAATGGCTGCCTGTGGCACCTGCATCCCACATGAGCACCAGTTTGAGTTCCGGCTGCTCCTCTTCTGATCCAGCTCCCTACTGATGCACCTGGGAAAGCAGCACAGGATGGCCCATGGCACTCACAAGGGAGACCAGGATGAAGCTCCTGGCTTTGACCTGGACCAGCCCTAGCTGTTGTGGCCATTTAGGGGAGTGAATAAGCAGATGGAAGATCTATGTCTCTTCCTCTCTATAACTGTGGCTTTCAAATAAAATAAATCTTTTTAAGAAAAAATAAACCCATGTGTCAACCAGGCATTGGTTAAGATGCCCACATCCCCTGTTAGGTGCCTGGTTCTAGCCTTGGCTATTCCATGCTTCTGATCCAGCTTCCTGCTACTGCATGTGGCAGGCTGCAGATGATGACCCAAATACTTAGTTACTGCTACCCATCTGAGAAATCTGCATGGAGTTCCTGGCTCCCGGCTTTGGCCTGGCCTAGTACTGGCATTGGGGAGAGAACCAGCAGATGGAAAATCTCTCTCCCCCTTCCTTCCCACTCTCCTTATCTCCCTCATCCTTTCTCTCCCTCTCCTACTTTCTCTCTTCCTTTTAAATAAGAAGTAAATCCTTAAAGAAATATATCATGCACATATTTAAATAACTACATTTTGGGGAAAGGCTGTTTTGAAGAAAAATTATTATTCAGGAAGAGGAGGAGATGCTGATGTGACATTCAGGAATTTGAATAAATATGAATACTTGTCCTTAAAAAAAAAAAAACAGAGTACCACTATGCTCCCACATCTGTGTATATGAAATACATTAAATTTATTCACCTTAAAGAAAAAAGAACAAATAAACAGTATGGAACTAGAAATACTCTCTGGAAGATCTATTTTAGTAAACCTAATTATTCTGGCTAATGGCAATCTAGGATCTTATTGCACAATTTCTCACCCTCTGTCCAACACAGGGTAGTCACAGAGGCATAAAAAATTTGACACTAGTTATAAAAGCTCTTCCTATAAATCCCCCAGGATTTATAACAGCATCTGCCTTCCATGATTTTTATCTCCAAGTCTTTACATCAAAGTATTCTTTTGTTTTCCAGATAAAATCACTAATAGTTTCTTAATTTTCCTTTAAATCAGTTTTCTACAAATGTTAACCTTTTTTTTGAGATTTTTAAGAGTGCTATATTATTTTTAAAAATCTTTTAAGGTAAAAAAATTTCATGTATTTCACATGACAGATTTAAGTTGATAGTGATACTTTCCATCCTAAGCTCCCTCTCACCCATGTCCCCACCTTCCTTCCTTCTTCCTTTCTATTCTTCAATTTTTACTTTCAGTTTATTTTATACTCATAAGATTAACCCTACACTAAGAATGCAATAAATAGTATGAAGAAAAAAAAACATTGTTCATCAACCATAGAGACAAGGGCTGTAAACAATCATCAAATCTCAAAACATCAATTTCATTTCTATACATTACATGTTTTGGTACTCTATGAGTTACCACAGATCAGGGAAATCATATGGTATTTGTGTTTTGGGACTGGCTTATTTCACTAAGTATAATCGTTTCCAGTTGCATCAGACAGGATTTCATTCATTTTTACAGATGAGTAGTATCTCATAGTCTATATATACCACATTTTCTTTACCCAGCCTCAGTTGATAGATATCTGGGTTGATTCCATCTCTTAGCTATTGTGAATTGAGCTACAATAAACATAGGTTACAGTTAACTCTTTCCTTTAGTGACTTCATTTTACTTGGATAAATTCCCAGGAGTAGGATTGCTGGGTCATATGCTAGATCTATTTTCACATTTCTGAGGAATATCCATACTGTATTACACAATGACTATATTAATTTACATTTTTACCAAAAATGGGTTATGCTACATTTCTCCCCATAATCTCACCAAAATTAATTGTTTGTTGATTTCTGTCATGAGAGCTATTCTAACTGTGGTAAGGTGAAACCTCACTGTGTTTTTGATTTGCATTTCCCTAATGGCTAGTTATACTGAGCATTTTTTCATGTGTCTGTCTATTGGTTACCTGAATTTCCTCTTTTGAAAAGTGCCTGTTCAAGCCCTTTGTACATTTCTTAACTGGATTGTTTGCTATTGTGTTGTTAATGAGTTTCTTGAGCTCTTCATAGATTCTAGATATTAATCCTCTATCAGTTGCATAGTTTGCAAATATATTCTCACATTGTATAGTCTCTTTACTTTGCTGAGTGTCTCCTTTGTAATACAGAAGCTTCTTAGCTTCTATAGAACTCTTTGTCCTAAGTCCTTGAAAATTATAAAATCTTAGAGAAAATTTAGGGAACACTGAAACCAAAAGCTCTCACTTGTGGGATGATATGAAAAGAAGTTGGATAAAGGCCACTGAAATATGTGTAAATTGTCCCTGATCAAGTTCACTTTCATTTCTTCTCATTCAGTCTTCAAGTGAATGCTGAAAAATACTGGCTACCTTCTATAAAAAATGGATCCATGCAGTTGAAAATCCTTTTTGCAACAAAATGGATGCAACAGGAAACAATTATAGAATTTCAGATAAGAGGAAATCTGAAGTAATGCCCAAGCAAATGGGCATTACTAAACAGGCAACAAAATAGTTAGGGATCTCCTTTATTACTAAACACTTTGAGGAAGTCTTTGCTTTGGTAAGTTTAGGACACATAGCTATGAAGACTCATTTACCAATAAAAGTGTGGTATACAAAATCTCTATGTGTCTTAGTAACATCATGTGGTATCACATTAGCTTGATACACTAGGCTTGCATTAGTAATTGTAGGTAAGTGCTAACTACTGAAAATCCAAATTTGCCCTGTGCCTTTGCTAGAAATATCTTTTGAGACTTCACAGCTTTCCAAGATTTTTTGCATTATTTAGCACAACCATCACCTCTTTCATGGTTCCTCTTGTTTATTAATGAAATGCTAATGATAACTGCAATAAAAGAACAGATAAAAAAATTAAGAATAGGACAAGGAAAACATCATGGTTATGATTTGTGAGCCTTTGAAATTAATGTTTACATTAAATTTGGATGAATTTCACTAGTATACCCTGAGATCACTATTTCTATTTTGCAAAGAGTTAAATACTTACTGGTTTTGCCTTGTACAAACTATAACTGTAGTGCAGCAGTAAACATGTATATTTTGGTGGTATGAGTCAGCAGACAAAACAGAGGCAGAAAAAATATATTTTCAGATTAATTCCAATGCTAAGTGAATTTTATCAATCTTCTTTTAGTCCAGATGTATGGTCATTGATAACTCTTTTTTTTTTTAACAGAGTTATAAAATGTCAAGAACAACGTCACAAAATCCAAAACACAAAAGCAAGCATCATGTCTATTCTTTCTGGAAATGCAGAGTGTGTAGGGATTATACTTCCAAATTCACAGCTTTGTACCTTTAGTTAGTGTCCTGCCACATTTTGGAATCATTTGACACAGCATGTATATTACGAAACCTAGGAAACATTGCTATGGCCTCTTTGGCATGATAGTTTAACAAAATCTTACCAATAAACTTACATACTGTTTTTACAAGATAAAGGGAGGGGTTGCTATACTCCAAATGCTTATCTGTCTTGTTTTAGCACAGTGTTTTTTCAGATCATTAAAAAGCATCTATCATCTTTTGCAATAAAAAATATTACACTCATATTTACACTTTGAAGTCTTCATTCTGGGGGCACACTGTAATTTATCCAAATCCTTGCCAGTGCCACACAAACCATATGAAGATGTACCCAGAAAAATTCAGAGAATAATCATGCAATTCAAAGGAATAAGGGTTTGGATTTCTATCTGTTGTTTATGAAAATTCTGCTTGAAACAAAGAGATATCACAGCTATAAAAATCAGTTATTTTATTTATAAAATGGGATCTGTCAGAAAAGCATAAAAATAACCCAGATTGGCTACATCACTGATAGTCATAACCTAAATCACCCAATCAACCATAAAACCATGAAGTTCAGCTTTTGTATTTATCAATAGTACCCTTTTCATGGCAATGACTTCAGGTATCTCACCACAGCCATTCTAGAGAGACTATTCTGTTCCCATTCGGGTATTCCCACCCATAAAGTAGTAAGATGCTTGCCAAATATAATGTGAATTCATCAGGCAGTAGAATTTAACTCTTTTATTGAAAATGCAGTATAGTACATTCCTTTGTGTTTTTGTGATTTTCTGAAATAGATCTGTAACAAAGAAATAATTTATTTATTTTTATCATCCAGGTTCTGCTAAACTTTTGTAATTTTTGCTAAACTCTTTGATAAGATTGCACAAACATACATGCAGATTTATTGATTTTTGAGAAAAGTTTATAAAATGATTTGTTATCTTTCCTTTTAGAGAACCAGGATTGTATTTTTCTTCTTTTTCTAACATGTAGAGTGCCTGTTGCCATAGTAATCACTGATTTAGCACAACATTTTTTCTGCTTGTTTTAAAAAACTTGTCTCCATTCCTGCCAAGAAGGAACATATTAATCTACCTATTATGCTAGCTTAGCGAAGTTGAAGGCCACAGAAATTGTCATTTATGCAAAACTTCCCAGAAGGTTAATTGTTGGTATCTTATGTCAAGAACTCTATCCCAGTTGAAGAGAGGAAATGAGACACGGAAGTGGAAGATCCTGGAGCCAAGGAGACAAGATTCTTTTCTTCCCCATGAAGCCATTCGGCAGCACGGGAAGCCGCAAACTCTCTGGTCAAACAGCCTATCTTCCTAAACTAATTCTCCTACCAGATAAAGATTTAGAAGGTCACTAGTATCCAGAAAACAAGAACAAAGCAGAAAATACTCTTTAAGACAATAGTTTTCCTTAACCTATTTACTTCCGAAGGTAGGGTAAAAACAAGAAACAAGTGAAAAATCCCCTTGAGAGGTCTAACAGATTTCGTTTTGAAGAAATAAAAATCGACAGTGCCAATTCTTCACGAGACAAAAGGCATGCTCGAGTCTCCAGCCTAACTGAATTCTTTCTTGCTTTAGGTAAATTTTATCTCAAATTGACCTAGCCCTACTATTCAGAGCATAAGCTACCTACAAACATACTCATCCAGAAGTACACACTGGCCTATCTCACAACAACAGTGTGAACCAACTGAATTTTTACAACTGACACTCCAAGCTATGAGAGTCAGATTCTTGCCAGTTTCTCAAGTCAAATTCGCTGGCTGTCCCCAAGTACAGGTTCCACCTGTGTGTCAATCCCTAATGGGAAATGCCACCTACTTGAGTAAGAACATTCAAATCAAAAGAGTACAGAGGTTGACTTTTGACTCCCATCTGACATATCTACTGCTTTAAGTGGAGAAAGACAGTGGTGAGGAATGAGAGAGAAAAGTAGAACTTTTCAATTTCATGTCTGCTTATGATCGGAGTGATGAGTCCTCAAAATTAAGAAATGAGAAATAAAAGGTTAGGGATATGATATTAAAGTTGTTTCTTATCCAAAGGCTTTACACAATGAGAACACAGCTTAGTTACTTCAAGGCAAAAAAAGATTTGCTCTAAAGAGAATAGATGACAGAGTTCATTCATTCTTCCTAATATATGCAAGGAGAATAAACACACATTTTCTTATAATTATCCATATTGTTCTATAAATTCAATATGTTTTCTATTATCTTCTAGGAACAAAGATTGGGCAATGCATTTCCTTTTAGTTTCATGGAAATGGGCAAGGGTTTAAAAGGAAACAAAATAATGATTCCTGAAATTTTGCATGTTTTGCTGAAAACTGTTAACAGAATGTATTCGTTAGAATAACAAAACCATCTAATAAAATGTTTTTAAAGCAATTGGTCTCTAGGGGAAAATGTGAGAATCAGGCAACTGGTAGCAAACAAAGCATTCAATTGCATTACACATGACCGTTCTCATCCTTTAAATTCTTAGCACACAAGAGTGTATTAACAACTGAGGAGGAGCAACTTAAAAGATATCAACTTTTCTATAGAATTTAGGTGTTCAAGTACTCATCAATGAATCTCGTACAAGAATCCATAAATGCTTTGAAAAATCAGTTATACCTCAGACTTTAATTCTGTTGCCAATAAAAGCAATACTCCCATTTTATTCCAGCAACACAACGGAAATTTATTGTCAAAAGAAGATGATAAATATTGGAAAGCTGATAGATTACAGGAATTTGAATTCTGATTTTTCATTCAAAAGAAAAAAATACTGGTGTAAATGAACTTTTTATCTGCTAACCATTATTTTAGCTACTGTTGTTTCTAAGAACTAAAATCACAAGAAGGGAAATAAGAAACAAATCAAAGGAAGAAACTATAGGTTGGTGTGTTGAAGACAAATATTCCAACAATGATGACTTGGCTATCTGGGTCAACCTTCTAGCTAGTCTACAGGGATTAACTGCTTAGGATGGTGATGGGAAAGGTATTTTTTAAATTGTGTATAAAGTTCTATAGGTTCTAGGCAGGCAGACCATGGCTTAAGTCTGCAGCTTCTACTGCCATGGAAAGTAATATATAAATCTTGCTTCTTTAACAGAAAAATGGTAATGAAAATATTTCAGTACTCTGTATAGGGATTGTGTCAGTGAATTTTATTGAAGAAAACTGAAATAGTACAAAATAGATGATCTGGGAACATGCCGGACTCCACCTTTTCACTCTTTCTGGACTACAGTCTTCAGTGCTAATGGCATACACATATCATGAGCTAACGTTCCCATCAATGGTCTAGCATATGACCATTGAGTCACTGTTCTTAGTTGAAAAAAAGAATTACAGACAAAAAAGTTCAATATCGGTTACAACAAGGATTAACTGCCTCATCTTATTCTATTACCAAAACCCATCTCAACTACACTCTCCATTGTTTACAACAGGAACTGAGAAAGAAAACCAGCTAAAACTCTCTCACTGGTGGAAAATCAATGCAAGAAGCATCGCCAACTGATCACGGATGCACTTGAGGTTTGCATATCATCACTGTCATTTCTGGACACATTTGCTGAGCCTGACTGCTTGAGATCAGTCTTCTCAACATGGACTACATCTCAGAATCACTCCTAACTTCAGAACCACTACAATGCACATGCCCCAGCCTAAGAAAAGCAGAACAAAACATTCAGAAATGGTTGGTTTTTTCATCAGAAGAACTGCTCTGTAAATCAATAGAAACCAAGATCAAGAATCAAAAGAAAATATTCTCCTCTGGGAATCACCAGCATTTGCACGAATTTCTATGACTGGCTCATTGACCCAGAGTACTATCTTAAAGTGGGACACAGTGTGCTCTGATGCCGGACGTGACATTGAATTTATTATGCTCGGGTATCTGCTGCCTTATGGAAAATGGCCCAGGAGACACTGAACTTACACATTAAACAGCTGAGACAACGGATGCTCTAACTGCCAAGGAAGTAACAGAATGGGGAGACCCTCTGTTCATTTGTCACTGATGCCAGTTTGGCAAAATGGTGTTTTTTTTTTTTTTTTCTTTTCTGCAGTCATTGAAAAGAAATAATGTAGCAACACCTACAGTCTGTCAGCTCCCTTTCAATGTGAATATCATTCCAGACTCAAGACAACTACACCTGGTACATAGTGCCTCTCCCTACTCTTCATCAACTTCTTCATTTCTCTGATTTATGTGGCCTCCTACTTGGCTAGCTTTCCAGAAGTCTACCAGCATTACCTTCCAGAAGTCTACCAGCATTACCTTCCAGAAGTCTACCAGCATTTACCCTTTGAAATATTTTTGTTCTAAATAAATGTGCCATATGTAGATCCTTTTGCTACCATATGTCATGTCACTATCTTATTAGTGGTGTTTTGGTTTTTCTATTACATGTTTTTAATTTTAAATGATGTGAAAATTATGGAAATACAAATTTATTCTTACAATAGAAAACATAGGTGAACATAAAGGAGAAAATAATGTTCATACCTTTAAAATAATTTCCAAATGCTTTTCTTCTGTGTGTTCTTTATTTTCACAAAAATACAATCACAAGATATTGATAATGTAAAAATCTTCCCCCTTGCATGAGGATATTTTGTGAATAACTATTCATTTAGAACATCATTGTGCAGCATCTCCTTATGATTTATATAACTATTTCCATACTGATAAATATTTAGCTTATTTTGAACATTCTGCTGCTAACTATGTTAAGGCAGTATTTGTAGCATTTCTTGCACTGCCACTACCTCATCTTGATTGATCAAGAATCTAAGAATACGCAACAGGTTCCAAAGTTTGCAAAGTCTGTCAGTGTGGCTTATCAAGAGGGAGACCTGTATGTATGACTGCCATACCATATGTCTCATAATAAGAATGATCGTTGATCACCGAAATGCAGTGACACCTATCTGGCAAAACATTTTGGAAAACTGTCTTTTAAAAGTGAGGAAGTAGGAGGAAAAAACATCCCAGGGCCCCAAGAGAGAAAGCGTGGGTCAGAGATTCATCAGTCAAGATCAACTATTATTTTGAAAGTCTTTTTCTATTTGCTAACATTTTCTTGGCCATAAAGAGGAGAGAACATGTGAAAAGCTGAAGTAGTACTACATTCCCTTTGATTCAGTTAGACCAGAACTACAGAAAAAACTGGCAGATTTTCTAACAGGTTTAGCTTCTCCCACAAGAAACCTAGAAGGCAAGCTGTAGGTAGCAACATGCCTTCACGAAACAAAGGTGAGGTTTGCAGGCAGTGTTTTGTGAAGTCCTTCCACACTTCCCTGTCCTCACACCCACCACCCTAGGACACCAGCAGTTTGGGGAACAATTAGAAACACGCCAGGTAGGCTGCAGCTAACCCGGTCTTGAATCAGGGCCACCGAGCAGGACTTCTGAAGAACCACTGGAGGGGAAGTCGCTTGACGAAATTTATGCAGGTCTGAAATGGCTGCCTTTAGAGGTCAGGATCCAAAGACTAAAAAGATTGATTTTTTTTTTTTTTTTTTTTTTGCCTGACTCTCACCAGAATGAAAAACCATTTAAATGCTCTCTTGGGTTCTTAAATTGTTGCTTCCAAATTTGCTGTGTTGTGGGAAATGCTAATATTTAACAAATAGCCCCTCTCTTTTCTTTCCAAGGGCACTTGAAAGAAAAATCACTGATGAAGAACAATGAAGCAGTTCAAGTTGATAAAGCCCCCATTCTCCTAAATCCCTTAACCAATTAACAACCTATATCTTTAGTCCTTAACATCCAATTCCATTTAACCAATAGGTCCATTGGGTTTCAGGAGAGCAAGATTGGAGGCTGTAGGCAAATCATTTCTAAGACTCATCCAGGAAAGAAAAGAAAAAGGAGTCAGCCTGGGCTATCTGAGAATTTACAAAGGAAACTAGAAGCTGTGCCAGTCAAAATGTCCCTGGCAAGATAGCAAAATCATTTTAAATCAAATCACACATTCACTAGATTCTTCTTTTCCAACCTTTTTTTTTCTTGGCAGGAGTAAGAATCATTTGTACAACTTTTCATGGATCGGATGGGGGGGGGGGCAGGGAAGGAGAGCAAGCAGGGAGGGAGGAAATGAGAGGGTGTTCCTGCTGGCAATAGGCAGTGACTGAACTGCCTGCTTCAGACCCACAACGAAGTGGGAGGGACAGAGAGCCCTGGGGAGGAAAGGTGCCAGCTCCCTCGCAAGAGCGGGCAGGGGCTGGTTTCTTCTCAGAAAACTGGGAGAGACTTTGGTGGTGATGTCAGCAATGGAGCATCTGCCTTCTCAGGGCTTTGTTTGCCAACTGGCATAGGGGACGCAGTCCAGAAAGCCAATTCTCTTTGTAATAAGGAAAGGCAGGAAATGGGCAGACAGCCTTACACTCAGCGGGAAAAGCCATATCTGAAGGACATGGGAGAAAGGCAGCCACGTGGAATCGCGGCGATTCTTCAGAGAGGAAGACAACTATGTCCTCTAGTTATTTGCATGATGTTTTACAGCTTATAGGACACAGACACCATCACACTGGTACAGTTGTCACTATTTTCCAGTTGAAGAAAACGTCACCCAGGGATCAGTGATTTGCTTCATTGTGAGTGTTCTTATAAAGATCTACTGCTCTTTCACCTACATCTGAGCAGTATCTCTGGGACATTTCCAGACACAGGGACTTTCAGAACCCTGCATTCTGGGGGAACCACATGAATATCATTCTTAAACATGCTCCAAGTTTTCCTACCTGTATGTCTCTGCTCATGCTATTTCTGTCCCCTGAATTCCTTTGCCAAACCTCGAATGCTAAAATGCCACTCTGGTCTTTTTAAAGTCACTATGTTATCTGGATTTTTTCCCCCCAAGGTTATTTTGCACCAGGAGTCTTTGAATTACAGGTATTTATACACATTTTCCATACTAAATCTAATTTTGTATTCATTTCAATGCCTCATAAAACTCCTTGTACAGTAAAGAAATTAGTTTTGAATGTATGTATTAGTCAAAAACAGAAAAATATTGTGAGTTCTTAACGTGTATTTCATTACATTAAGTGAGAAAAAAATCACTGAAGACAAAGCAGATTCTATTTATATTTAGTGTAACATTTTACAAACTGAATTCTATATCCCATGTTTCTGGAAGAAGTATCTGTATCTAGTTCTACATATTGTTCTATCATTTATGTGTGTGGTTGTGAAGCTGTCTAAATGAAAATTAATCTTTGTTGAGTTTACAGCTCATGTGTCTAAATAAATAGGTACTTATTAATAAAATGTATAGTTGGTTACTAAAAAAATACATGGGCAGATTGTCCCTTGCCTGATTTTCTAACTTTAAGTGTAATAATTCTGGCTTTTCTTGATTACAGTTTGGATGCTAAATAGTACCTTAAGTTTCTTTTGATTTTTGTCATGATCCAGATCAGTAATCATATTTCCTTATTCTGTCATGGTTCCAGTGCTAACGAAAATTCTTCAGGGCTCCCAGCCCATTAAAAAGAAGATTTTAGGACATGGGCAGGCATTTTTCAAAGAATGAAATCAAAATGGCCAACAAACACATAAAGAAATGCTCAGGATCACTAGCCATCAGGGAAATGCAAATCTAAACCACAATAAGGTTTCATCCCACCCCAAGTTAGAATGGCTCTCATACAGAAATCAAAATAAATAAATGCTGGTGGGCCAGCGCCACAGCTTAATAGGCTAATCCTCCGCCTGCAGCGCTGGCACCCTGGGTTCTAGTCCTGGTCGGGGTGCCGGATTCTGTCCTGTTTGCCCCTCTTCCAGGCCAGCTGTCTGCTATGGCCCAGGAGTGCAGTGGAGGATGACCCAAGAGCCTGGGCCCTGCACCTGCATGGGAGACCAGGAGAAGCACCTGGCTCCTGGCTTCGGATCAGTGCAATGCGCCGCCCACAGTGCACCGGCCGCATCGGCCATTGGAGGGTGAACCAACAGCAAAATGAAGACCTTTCTCTCTTTCTCTCTTACTGTCCACTGCCTGTCAACTAAATAAATAAATAAATAAATGCTGGTAAAGATGTAGGGGAAAAGGTACCTAATACACTGTTGGTGGGAACCTAAACTCATACAACCATTATGGAAGACAGTATGGAGATTCCTCGGAAACCTGAATATACACCTACCATATGACCTAGCCATTCCACTCCTGGGAATTTATCCAAAGGAAATGAAGTCAGCTACAGAAGAGTTATTTGTACTCCCATATTTATTGCATTCAATTCACAATAGCTAAGATATGGAATCAATCCACATGTCCATCAGTTGATGACTGGGTAAAGAAAATGTGGCATGCATAAATAAGAGAACACTACTCAGTCTTAAAGAATGAAATTTTGTCTTTTGCAACAAAATGGATATAGCTGGAGACCATTAAGCTTAGTAAAATAATCCAGTTGTAAAAATACATTTTCTCTGATATGTGGTAGTTATAGAATACAAAAAAGTTTAGGGGCCAGTGCCGTGGCTCACTTGGTTAATCCTCTGCCTGCGGCACCAGCATCCCATATGGGCACTGGGTTCTAGTTCCAGCTGCCTCTCTTCCAGTCCAGTTTTCTGCTGTGGCCTGGGAGGGCAGTGGAGGATGGCCCAAGTGCTTGGTCCCCTGCACCCACATGGGAGACCAGGAAGAAACACCTGGCTCCTGGCTTCAGATCGGTGCAGCGCCAGCTGTGGTGGCCACTTGGGGAGTGAACCAAGGGAAAAAATGTTTAAAAACGAAACTGACATCTTAAGATTTGATCATTTTTAGCCCTTGTCTATACTCTTGTAGAATAGTTGTTTTTCTACTTTTTATTTGTTGGATATTATGGTTAGTAGTGCAATAAGCCTGTGATTTTCTAAAGTAAATTTAAATTATGTTATTGCAAAAATTAAAGGAAAAAAGGGAAGGAAGGAGGGGGTTGAGGGAAGAAGGGAAGTATGGTTCTTTTTTAGGATTTGTATCTAAGAAATACATGAAAATCTGTTCTCTTTATATTAATGAAAATTTCTTTAAAATTAAGAGCATATACAAAAAAAAAAAGATTTACTTAATTGAAAGGCAGTGACTGGAACAAAGGGAGAGACAGAAATATAGAGAGATTTTCCATCTGCTGGGTCACTCCTCAGATAGCAACAACAGCCAGGGCCAGGCCAGGACAAAGTCGAGAGCCAGGGACTCCATCCAGGTCTCCTAGGTAGATAGCAGGGAGCCTGGGTCATGGTCTGCTGTCTTCCCAGGCACATTAGCAGGGAGCTGGATCAGAGATAGAGCAGCCAGGATTCAAACTGATGCTTCAATATAGAATGCCAGCAAGGCAAACGGTGGCTTAACTCTGAGCCACAACAGCAGCACGCGACCCCCTGCCCTATCTTCTAAACCATGGCAAAGTGAAGCAAAAGTTTGCAAGAGTCCTGGAGGCATCATTCATCTACTCACTCTGACTAAACCATCATCACTCAAGGGTTTAACTTTGTGCTTAGTAAAACTGCCTCTCGGATTAAAGTCTTTTCTTTTAGCTACTGACTCAATTGTGCTATTTAATTTTTATTTGTGATTTGCTGCTCCAGACCACAATTAACAAAATTAAAGCCATGACTATCTTTTTAGGCCTTTGGGTTTTCCACGACTGACAAATGTGTAATATATAGCTCTATGTACTATACATATCACACATGAAACCATTTTGAAACTTAAATGTAGATTTAAATTCATATTTAAAATTAATCCTCATCAGATAGGAAACATTTTAAGAAATACAAGCCTAAAGAGTACTAAACAGTTTGGCATTATTTAATATAGCAACTTGATTTTATTCAAAAGCAAACATTTTGCAAAGCAAAAATTCTCCAATTAAATCCAAACAAAAAAGAAGAAAGTACATATTTTTAATTACTCAGGGAGTAAATTCACTTGCCCATGATTAGCAAGGTAGCAGTGTGAACAGCCCTGGGAGCTTTCTCAATGGCTCCCGTTTGAAGAGAACCAGCCTCCACTCCAATTCCCCTCAGGCAATATGAGCAATATCTTTGGCCATTAGCTGCTGTCTTCCATATTAAGAAAGACACTAATTGACATTAATGGATAGCTTAGGTCTCTGTCCTCACTCTCAAGGTGTAAATTCAGAAGAACCCTTTAATTCTGAAATGATTATTTAAAAAAAAAATAACCAATTAATTCATATAATGAGAAACAGAGGCAAACAGAGCTTTCCCATCTGCTGGTTTTCCCATCTGATCCCCAACACCTACAACAGCTGGAGCTGGGCCAGGCTGTGCAGGCAGGAGCTCAAAACCCTGCCCAGTTCTCCCAGTGGTTGCCAGGGACTCAAGTGAGCCGTCACGGCTGCCTCCAGGGATGTGCCATGGCAGGAAGCTACAACTGGAAGTGGAACTGGGACTCAAACCCAGGCACTCTGATATGGGGTGCAAGAATCAACCACTGCGCCAAATGACCACCCCATGAAACAGTCAAGTAATACACTATTTAGGCATTCCCGGCAGCCTTCTGAGAGACCTAGAAAACTCTTCAGTTATAATTTCCTGTCATTCTCCTATTCGTACACAGCTAACTTAAAATGGGATATTAATTCTAGGCTGATAGAACAATTATTGTGTGAGATTTGAAATGCACTGAACCTACTCAAAGAGTACTCATATCCAAAACAAATGTGTAACTAATAATGAACAATTGTCTCTAAAAGTATGAAACCGTAACTGTTAAGTAAAAATAAACCTTTGACAGTCTCATATGTGCCCTAAAGGAAATAAGTGGAAATGTTCTGCTGTTTCTGAATACTAGGTATTATTTCACTTGATTATTTTAAAATGTAACTTTTACATAAATTCAAATTTGTCATGGATTTGCATATTCACTTATAATAGAGAATATTAACTCTAAACTATCGGGAGATAAATGAATTTCCAAATATTTCTCTTTAATTTTTCCTTTGTCAATCATTAGTACAAGATGGTATCTCTATATGCATTCCTAAAAATAAGTTTTTGCTCTGACCAAGTATGTCTATGGTAGAAATATTGTAATATTTTTATTGTCTCGCAATCACTAAGATTATTTCCATACTTCCTGTGTAATTTGCATTGGTTTTGCTGGTGCCTTCAGGAATTGTTATGGAGATAAATTTTTGATATGGTAATTTGAAAGGAACATTAAAATATATAATTTGATGAAACAGCTACAGAATTTGTAAAAATTCAGTATCACAGGAGTTTGCACATGCTGAAGAAACTATAGGAAGAAATATTTAACTAACCTAAGGAATCATTTCCTCACGGGTCTTCCAAGTGCTATGTTCATTAAAAGATAGAACATGGGCTCTTAGGACCATTGTTCTGAATTTCGATTTTTTTTTTTGCATTTCCATAATATGTAGGTAGAACTAAAGCATTTCAGCAGTTTCAAGATGGCATGATTACATGAATTCCTAGCTTGAAATGCATAATTAACCAGAGAGCCAGTTGTTAAACAGCTAAACAGATTGTCCTTAAAAAGGTCCCATTGCTGCTCAAATGAATGCTGGAATCACCACAATGATTTCTGTTTTATAGACAAGCTACATACAAGCAACTGACACAGACCACTTTTTCCTTTTTACAAAACCGATGAAAGCTTATGGGCAGCTGCAATTATCTCCGATACTTGTATCCAGAAATGGACTTATAATCCCACGAAAATTCTGTCATTTACTGAGCCACTGAGCAAGTCCATGTAACTCCCTCTCCCCAGCCCCTCAGGGTGTATCACATTTCAACAGAGAATTGGAGTCAGTGATGTAATTGAAGTAGCCCTCATAAAGGAAGGAGAAAAGTGATATGAAAGCATGCTTCTGAATTCCCATAAGAAATTCCCAATTATTGGACAATGCCAAATTTCAAAACAAATGAATCTTACTCTTATTACTGAGTAGAGGAGATGCTGGGGCAGGATTAGTGGTTTAGAGTTGGGGTGGGCTATATTGCTATGCTCTCTGAAGCAATTTTTGCCAGAAAAAAAATATGGGAAACATGGATTAAAGCCAAGGAATTTATCAAATATAGATTTCTTAAGAAAAGTGCATATCTTTAAATGGTAGTTTTTAAGAGGCTGTCTTTAAAGTACATGGGTGAGTCAGAATGTAACTATTGCCCTCTTCCCAGTGCATCCTACAAATTAGAATTCTTGGGAAATCACACGCACTGATGCTTCTTCCAGTTTCCATCAAGCAGAGGGTACTTTACCCTTTTAGTTTGCACTGCAGTGTTTGTATGATGTTTTACAGTTGATTTGGGCATATTTTTCAGAAATATTAGAATGAGGGCTGCAGAACTGTAGCATTGCAGGTAAAACAGTCGCCTGCACTGCCAACTTCCCTTATGAGCGTTGGTTTGAGGCCTGGCTGCTCCACTTCCGATCCAGCTCTCTGCTATGGCCCAGTTCAGGCCGTGTGGCCACTTGGAGAGTGAACCAGCAGATGGAACATTGATCTCTTGATTCATTCTCTCTCAGTCTGCCTTTCAAATAAATAAAAATCTTTTAAAATAAAAAAATTAGAATAAGGATGAGGTCATTTTTACCTGTTTCAATCATTGATTTTAATGAAATTCAGTGTTTATACTTACACTAACATGTTTTATTTCTTGCTTGCCATTCTCATCAGCTGTAAATTGATTGTATAACCAAGCTTTCACTTGATTTAATGTAAATTTCCATAAATTTGCCTTTTTCCATGAAAATAATTAGCATGTGTTTGAAAACTTATCTGAATCTCCAATGGGTACGTATGAGGGTATTTCACAAAGTTTGCATAAAATATATTTTGATGCAAGAATTTTTGACAATCATGTATATAAGGGTTCTTCAAAAAGTTTATGAAAATGTTTATTCTGAAAAATTATGCATGGATTTCAAATTTATTTCATCAAAACTCATTTAAATTTTATTTTCCATAAATTTTTGGAATACTTTATTATGATCCTGATAAAACTGTTACACTCAATATGCTTTCTGTCATTTATACTGTACGTATAACACCTTCTTTTGATAGCACTGAACTTCTAAATGTTTTCCACTTGTGCGAAAATGCAGTTCATATTAGACTCACCTGTTTTAGGTCAAATTTATGAAATATATACATATATAACCACACACAGATTCCAGTTTTTTAAATTCCACATTTCCTCAAAAATTTATACACATAAGCTTAGATTATGCTAAATATGATCCACCTTTTGAGCATTTTCCATTGACTGGCAATACAAAAATAGAGCTCGTGGTGCTCTGTGCATTCCTTGACTTCCCAATTTTTCATGAATGCATAGCTATTTTTTTCTACCATGCTAGATAGTCCCTCTGGCAATTTTAATAGAAGACTGGATACTTACATGCCAGATAGGGTTATATAGCTATTAATATATATAGCTTTTCCCTACCAGACAAGTGAGGGTAGGAAAAGGAGGTTGACACATGCTCTATGGTAAGAGCTGAGGGCAGATTGTAACTAGTGAGTCAGAGAAGCAGGATTTGTTTCCAGACTGGCTGGTAGTGTGGCACAGTGTGGGAAAGCCCAGGCCCTGTTTCACCCAAGGCTGCATGGATGGTGCTTAAGGACCCCACCACAAAGATAGCTAATGCTTTTCTGTATTACTACCCAAGCCTACAAGCTAACCATTGTCAGCTCATCCCCTGTTGGTTTGAAGCCAAAGCATTGTGTTTTTTTTTTTTATTTTCTTTTTAAGACTTATTTGAAAGGCAGAGTTACACAGAAATAGAGAGACAAAGACATCTGCTGGTTCACTCCCAGGTGGTCACAAGGGCCAGAGCTGGGCCATACTGAAACCAGTAGCTTCTTCTTGGGTCATTTTCTGCTGCTCTCTCAGGCACACTAGCAGGGAGCTGCATCAAAAGTAGAGCAGCCTGGAATTGAATCAGTGCCCACATGGGATGCTGGTGCTGCAAACATCAGTTTAACCAGCTACACCACAGCACCGGCCCCGGGCCAAAGCACCTCATAGGTATCTTCTGTGAAGGTCAGAGACATCAGCAGATGGACCTAACTTCCCAAACGTACCACTTGGAATTTAAACAGTATACAATATGCATTCAGCATGTCTAGGTCATCCTCTGATTGCCAGATACGTAGAACAGGAGCAAGGCAATCCTCTCTGTGTTGTGTCATCCCAACTTCTTCCCCATAGTTTTCTTATTTCACAATGACAATGAAGAATGAACTGACGACTAAGCTAAAAGAGTTCTAGGTTCAGTTTTACTGCTTCCTAATTGTACCATCTTTGTAAGTCACTCATGGATTTTTCAGGAGCAATTTCCTTGTCTGGGAAATGGGATGTTTAACCAACAATGGTTTCTTCTACTTCATCAGATTTCAATTTCTTCTTCTTTCTTGGCACTTTTCTCTGACTTTTGGCTGTGTCCATATCTTTAATTTTATGATTTTTTTAATCCTTTACTTCAGTGAAGACATTTCTTTCTGTCCTGGGTCCCTTGCCCTGGGAAAATAGCGTGCTATAACTAGCAACCCCTATAACCCTGAGTATATTGTGTTTTGATCACTGAGTGCATTAACTAACCATCAGTTTCTTTCAACACAGGCTTCTCTATTATATTTCTCTCATGTTTTCAACTTCCTGGCACTTAGCATGCATTCAATGAATGACTTTTGAGTAACTGCACTTCTTAACCTTCTCTTGGACGCCCCTTCAGGCAAAGGGGATGATAAAGAGGAGATGCACTTTGCTTTTCTGGCCAACTGTGTTCCCAGGAGCCAGCCTTGTGTTCAGTCTCTTCTGAGGCGATTTTTATGAGCTGTGGATCTTCACTGGCAATTGTAATTCCTGACCGGTTTGCATTTATTTACTCACAAAAGCAGGCACCAGGTACCAGGAAAAACATTAAGTATCAAAGTCACAAATACGTTCTCTCCACAACGTCTATCACACTAGATTGTGCATTTGTCCCCAAGAGGGCCACGTTCTCTTTAGCCTTATATGGTTCTTTCTTTGTGTCTTTCTCCCCCATCATTGAGTCTCTAACATAGTTTGGGACATCAACTATTGTTCAGTACATTTTTACTGAAAACTTGTTCGGAGTTGAGGCAGATTATATCCGATCTAAACTCAGACCCTCAAAATTTTCATTTTATGTTGCTTTCTGTAAGATATGCAAATACTCAGATACTGCTCCCCGGCTTTGCTTTACCAACATGTTATTTTAGATGGAGGATACCTTCATTGCTGTGGCACACCTCTGCAGATTCACACAAAGGTCATTTTGGAAGTGCTAAGTAAAAAATGAGAGAGAATCTCCTGTTTTCTACATTTCCCTCCTGAAACCACAGGATAGCTGGGCTCTTTGGACATCCCTAATTTACATAAGGAAGACTATAAAACATAGTTCAAAATCCTGGATCTTGGCAAGGGGAGACAGTAGTTAGAAAAACTTTAGGAATTAACAATGACAACTGGGTGACCCGATTGGGGAAACTGAAACTGTAATGATACAGCCTCTGAATTAACAAGCCAGCGCACAGAGGCAGCCTTCATGCTGACAAAACTGGAAAAACAGCACCAAAGGTCCATATTTTGGAGGAGCCTTAATTTAGATACTTAAAATTCATGAGCTTGATCAAAGTTTAGTAATACAAATTACTTATCCCTTGAGCTTGACCATTAGACTATGTTGAAAGATGCAGCATTGGAAAAAAATTTTAGCTGGAGTATTGAGTTGAAAGATATTAACATAGGAAAAAGGAAATAATAGCTTAAGAGTTCTAAAAAAGATTTTCTTTGCTAACTGTATTTTTTTATTTGACAGGTAGAGTTATAGACAGTGAGAGAGAGAGAGACAGAGAGAAAGGTCCTCCTTCCATTGGTTCACCCTCCAAATGGCTGCCACGGCCGGCACTGCACAAATCTGAAGCCAGGAGCCAGGTGCTTCCTCCTGGTCTCCCATGCGGGTGCAGGGCCCAAGCAGTTGGCCCATCCTCCACTGCCCTCCCGGGCCATAGCAGAGAGCTGGACTGGAAGAGAGGCAGCTGGGACTAGAACCTGGCGCCCATATGGGATGCCGGCACTTCAGGCAGAGGATCAATCAAGTGAGCTACAGTGCCGGCTCCTGCTAACTGTGGTTATACAGGAATAAAAAATATTATGTAACATCCTTTGAGTTGATTATATTTAAACATCACTTTTGAAATTATAGTGAACATAGATATTCAAGAAAAGCCTGTGAAAATCATACTTTTTCTATAGTTATTTGTATTTTTCTGGCCATGAGCCAAGAATACAAGAGAGAACAAGTTTCTCTGAAATAGTCCATTGGTACTCAGTTGGGAGAGTCTATTAGTTGACTAAAATATCACCAATAAGAACTCAATCATATTTTGCTACAGGAGTATACTCTGATTTTTTCCACTGGGAAAACAAACTGCAGATTCAGGCTTCAAAAATACACTTGGAGTGAATAGAGAAATCAGGATTTCTGCTCTGCTTTACAGCCAAAAGATAATGGATTCTTAGGCTCTTTGTCAAGAACTTCCTGCTTCAGATTTGTCCAAAGCAAGCTGCTGGCCAGAAATAAATTAGAAACCCGAAAGATTTTTAAATTCACAGATCTTCAGAAACCCATACACAAAAACACCACATCAGTGCTTCTGTTTATCAAGAGTGGGTATGTAGCCATCTATTTATAATACTCCAATTCTTACAAAACAGCCTCCATCTACTGCCTAGCTTGCTGAGTGGAAAAAAGCTGGAGGTGGTAAAATATAATGAGGGTGGGGAGTAGAAAGGGATAAGGAATAAGATACTCAGATGTCTGGAAATAACAGAAATCATGCTGTTCAGAATAGAGTGGAAAGTATGCATTCCACTGCCATGTCATATCCCATTGTCAATGTAAAAGGCATAAGTGATAGAGTATAGTCACCCGTATATGGTTTGCTTTGTCTTCAATTTTGTAACTGTATTAAAATAAGTTGCTGATTTATTAATGATGATATCCCATATTTCCTACCTCTGCACCACCAAAAATGACGTTCTGTGATCTATTTAAAAATAACTCAAAAATAATAAAAATTAAAAATAGTTCAGTGACTAGAAGAAACCAGGGAATAAGATTGGGAAATATTTTATGTGGACTATACTATTGCTGTACAGACACAAGTTAAAGTCAATTGTCAAAATGGATGGAGTTTTTACTCAATCCAACATATCAGATGTCAAATTACTAGATCAATATCATGTTCCAAGTACATATTTGAGCTGGGTTTTGAATGAGACAATCTGATTCCAGAACTCCTGCTCGTCATAGCTGTGCTATACTGTTTGTATTGCACAGGTTGCTTAGTGATGTGTCAGAATATATCACTCTAATGGATAAAGTGATCTCATACAAGTGTGATCATTGTCTGAAATTTTATAATCTTGTTGGTAAGATGGCCTGTGACTCTACAGGTGTATTAAGTGTACTTAACTTTCTTATATACAACCAGTTTTCATGAATGTATAACTTAATCCCAAGAACACAAAGGTAATTTTATATAGATGGATGCTACATCTATTTTGCAATCAAATAGCAACCATTTACAGTGTAATAGGCACTAGATGAAAGGCTGGAGATAATTAGCTAACCATGGTGTTCATTGCCATAAATTTAATTCTACTTTGGAGGACTCATGCACACTTCATTGAAGTTGCTTCTTGAACATTGGAACTAAACATTATTTTAAGAGCAGGGAGATTCTGATTGTTTCCTCGCTAAAATATGCTTCTCAGATACTATTGCTTGAGATATCAAAGATAGCAAAGGTAATTTTATTGGTTTCAGAAACTCCTAAGATAACTGTGCCTTAAGTAGGCATACTGATACAACGTGAGTATCATTCAAACTTCTTTTGTTCATAAGGCACATACTTACACTTACTAATGTCTGGGTAAGTGGGAGTACAGTGGATAAACCTCAAAGAAGATGTATTATGTACTCAAGACTTTAAGCTGACCCACTGCAAGCATTTGATGAGGAGTTTCAGTAGGTGCTGTACATAATACAGACTGATTTCTCACTCAACTGCTGCTGATAAAGCTCTTTCTTAAGTGCCTATGTTTTATACCAATTGAAAAAAGAAAATTCCTAAGAATTATGCAAAAGACTCTCACTGGGATTAAACATGACAATAGGTCTGATCTGATTTCATCATCATTTAAAAAATCATCTATTATTTTTCACTTTAAGTTTCTGTGTGGGAGCAAACTGTTGAAATCTTTACTTAATGTATGCTAAACTGATCTTCTGTATATAAAGAGAATTGAAAATGAATCTTGATGTGAATGGAAGGGGAGAGGGAGTGGGAAAGGGGAGGGTTGCGGGTGGGAGGGACGGTATAGGAGGGAAGCCATTGTAATCCATAAGCCGTACTTTGGAAATTTATATTCATTAAATAAAAGTTTAAAAAAAGAATTATGCAAAAGAAATAGCCAAATATTTAAATAGCATCTTAATTGTATAAAGCATTTACAAACAGAACATTAATACCTCGGTCTCTCTAGTATAAATATATTGCTTCTACCCTTCATGTATTTTATAAAGTGGAACATACATCAATGTAACTACAGAACTATCAATGAGTAAAATTTCATTCTGTACTATCTCTTATTTTAGGTGCTGATTTTGTTGAGGGAAAATTCTATATTTAGAGAAAAACTCTGTAAACTGTTGAGGTTCCAGCACTGATGCATCCAGAAGTTGTGGGAGCAAACATCTGTACACAGCTACCCTTACATGATGTGGCAACATGAAGTTAATGTTGACAGTATCTGACCAATACATGTTATGTTACTTGTTACTTTATATTATGCCCAACATTAAACTTGTGGTAATTAGAATAATATCTTAGAGTTCTTAATAGCTTCAAATTTCATGATTCCAGTTCTATATTGGCATGATTGATTTTCCCTTGTGCTAAACTCTACTTTGGTCTTGTCTTGATTGATCTATAATTAATTAAAATACCTAATTCTTAAATTACTTTTCTGTTCCATCGACATTCTTAGGTTTAAATGAGGGCTTCTTTTAGTCTCATGGAAGTTTATTTATTGTTCATGTACTTTTGCATGTACTTTTTCCTTTTTGAAAAATCAAGAAGCTAGCTTAATTTGTCATACCTTTATTATAAGTTAACATATTTGTTGTGGGAAACATAGTACTAATGCAATCTGAACTCAATTGGCTTATGCCTAGACATCAATATTGTTCTTTATACTCCTACACAACTGTTCTGAAAAAATATTACTGGGTAAGCAGACAATAATGCATATTTATAACTGTCAACTGCAGACAACCTTCTGCAGATGGTAGTGTTGAGAAAGAAGGGACACACACATTTATGTCATCTGGGCGCCAAAGAGCATGAACCAAATGGCTCAGACAGTTGTGCTGCAGGGAAGTCCCTGATGAGTATCCACAGGATGCTTGAAGAAGGCTGCTGAGGACATCCTAAGAAGCGCAGGGGCATAGAAGTATAACCAGTACTTCCTTAGGCTTAGATAACTAAGAGAAAAAGTAGGGCAAGGTGCTGTGATGCTGAGAAACGCCTGCCCTCTACAGCTGTCAGGGAATTCAGAGATTCTCTCCTTTTTAAAACAAGATGCAATTGATAACTTTTGGCTATTGCAGAGACACTATACTCACAATCCCACAAATCTGCTTCAGTTACAACTCTATACTTTCCCAGGAAATAAAGAATAATCAATTATTTTCACCTTTGCGGATATAAAAGAAAACTACCAATGTGCTTTGACTAGCAAACCATTGGAATTGTGGTTTAGACATAATGGATTCCTTCTTCCACTGCCTGTAATCTAAGTGTAGCAATTTGGACAATTAATTATATGGTTATCCCAAATGCATTGTGACAAAAATGCCAATTTATATAATACACTGAAACAAATTTAAAACAGAATATAAGAGATCAACCCACTGGACGTACATATTACTTGTAAGTTCCTAATAAGACTCACTAATAAAGGATTTATGTTCCACTTAATCGATTTTAAGTATTTATTTATATTTTACTTGAAAGGCAGAGAGATTGAGAACATGAGCTAGGAGCCAGAAAAACAGGTATCTTCAATCTACTGTTTTACTCCCCAGATACCTGCAACAGCCAGGCCTGGAATTCAGTGCTGGCCTTCTGTGTGAGTATTAGGGACCTAAGTATTTAAACCACCACCTGCTGCTTTCCAGGGTATGCACATTATCAGGAAGTCAGATGCGAAGCAAAGCCAGGACTCTAACCCAGACATTCTGATATGGAACGCCAGCAACTCAAGTGGCATCTTAACTACTGTGCAAACATTAGTCCCGCTCTTATTTTTATATTTGTCATCATTCAATACACATTTTATAAAATGTCACTAATAACAGATTTTCATACTAAAGAGCAAGGTCCTTGGGAAGTTTGGCTCAAAAGACATCATTGGTGTTTGTGAACTAAACTAAGAAAAGTGTCGTCAAGATATGTTTCTTAATATTCAAAGACAAAAGTTAATCGGATCCCAAAGCCAGCGTCAGGATTAGCTTTGCTGAAGAATTTAAAGGTAAAAAATTTTAAAGCTAATGGGTGGGGCCAGCACTGTGGCATAGCTGGTAAAGCTGCCACCTGCAGTGCCAGCATCCCATATGGGTGCCGGTTTGAGTCCTGGCTGCTCCTCTTCAGATCCAGCTCTCTGCTATGGCCTGGGAAAGCAGTAGAAGATGGCCCAAGTCCTTAGCCCCTGTACCCGCCTGGGAGACCTGGAACAAGCTGCTGGTTCCTGGCTTTGGATCCGTGCAGCTCCAGCCGTTGTGGCCATCTGGGTAGTGAACCAGCAGATGGAAGACCTCTCTCCCCCACCCTCTTTTTCTCTCTCTCTTTCTCTCCGTCTCTCTCTCTCTGCATCTCTGTAACTCTTTCAAGTAAACACAGTCTTTAAAAAAAAAAAAAAAGCTAATGGGCTTGCTAAAACAGAAAAGCAGAGAAAATTCCATCTTGGAAATACTTTCTCTTCTTCCCAGATGCAGATCTGTCCACTGAATGAGACACTTGAGTAGAACTGGAATGAGTACACCTAGGGAAATATATTTGCTGAAGTCCCACCAATACATTCAAGAGCAGCAGTTACACTAACTGGATTGTGATGAGTTTAATCTTCATGCCTGAATATTTAATTTTACTACTAATAATGCCTATTTGATATCTCTAATATCTATAAAAATGCAGGCCAGATTATGTTTTGAGGGACTTACTTTTTTAGCAACAGTTGAGACAATGTTCTGTGAATGTTCATGTTGGTCATAACTATGGAAAAATGATCATCTGCATACAGAGGATATTTCCATTTATTTTTCAAAATGCCAGAAGGATTTAAGTCCCTATAACGAATGTGTTCTGGGATTATAAAAAAGTCAAAAGGAAAATTAAACTAATACTATTTTGGAGTTATTGAACTCCTGAAGCACATTAAATATATTTCTATCATGATGATTACATCATCTTGTATTATAATTTTTCTCACTAAATTTTAATCATGGAAGAAAGGCATTATCTTCAAACCTTCAGATGAGGCACAAAACAAGTCACCTATAAGAAGTTAACAGATTTTTTTTTTTTGCTTAGTTGACCAATGTGGATGGTTGTGAGAATCAGAGCTGATGAGGTATAAAGATAGGTTCAGGGTAAGGAAATTGCATTTCAGACATGACAAGGATTCATGGGCAAGTTGCTATTGTCACGAACTTTTTAGGCAGCATTAAAGCTGAAGGAAAAATAAATCAACAAGCTTCACAGACTTGTTTGTATAAGAGTAAGACTGGCCCTAGCATTATCACATGAACAATCTCATTTTATACGATCATAGTGGAAATGGCCCTCTCCCGACTTCAACACAGTGTATTATGTTTCCTATTATTTCAGAAATAATGCTAGCTCAAGGCTAACTCTGAGTAGCTCCATGTATTAGGGATTTCTCAAGCATATTTACAATATAATGGGCAGCACTCAGAGGAGAGAGATGGAGAGCAAAGAATCAAAACACAACAATCTTTTGGTCCTCAAACAACTTATTCCAGATGAAGATGCGTTGTAATATACTTTAAGAGGATAATAAAAAAAATAAATATCATGAAAAAGCTGGGAGTGGATCTCCAGAGAGGCAGGTTCTTCTGAGGTTGATGTGTTGAGAGTATATGAAGGTGACATGCAGAGTAGAAGACTCAACACCTACACCGCTTGTGTAGTTTCAAGATCAGCAGGTGAGGTACTGCATACCGGGTTTGCAGTTTGGGCTCCATCTCTCAAACAGCTCATCTGCTTCTTTGTACCAAAGTTTTCCTATGTGTAAATGTCTGTGGTTTCATTTTTTCCTCTCTGCTAACTATTTAGAAGACATTTGTGGAGTCCCTACTAGGTATGAATCACTGTGGCACTCCTCTTGCCCCAAAACTGATGCATTAATACCTCCAAGACTTGGGGTGAAGATGAAATAAATATTAGGAAATAGCTTGCAAATCACCACGCATTGCCTAAGGTAAGGGAAAGGCTATTTCTAAGCACTTCCATGCTCATGTTCCCTGTTAGCTCTAACTCTTAGGTCTCCATATTTCACCTGCTCCCCTCTATTCAGCCATCAAAATGGTGACTGCGTTAGCAGGGCATCTTTTATAATTTTATTTTCCGTAGCTATCATTTCTATTAAGGTGGTAGAAAACAACTATGTGACTTGAGCACCCTTACCCTGAGAAGCACATGTGTGTGCACATGTACACACACACACACACACACACACACTTAAGTTCGGTGAATTGTGTATGTTAAGGAAGATGAAAGGAGAAATATCCCATGCCTAATTCCCAGTATGTGGGTTTATTTATTTATTTTTTACTAATGGATGGAGGTTAGTTTTATCTCTTTGCCTAGAGATTAGACTTCTGCAGACAACTGTTTAGAAAGTAATGAAAGGAAGCACTAGCAACTAACATTTACCATAAGGCAGGTTCTGGCCAGTGGATTTAATCTTTTTAAATTATTTTACCAACTATACAGTGAGAATAATAAGGCTAGAGAGGCTGAATCACTGTCTGAATTCATGCAGTTTATGACAGAGTTAGGATTTAAACTCAGGGTAGTCTCGCCCCAGAGCCTGCACTCCCAATCCTTATGTTACCTGTAGGAAGAGCCCCTCAAAGCACATCCAGTTTAAAAAAGTGCTAGGCACCTGATTCCTTAAGAATATCATTTTTGTACATATTGAACACATTCCACCCCCCCCTTACTCTATGTCTACTTGGAAAGCAACAAATTTAAGATGAACATAGCTAGACTCAAGCACATTGATAGTCTAACTGGAAAAGGGAATGGGGAACTACAAGATTCAAACTCAACAGACTGGCGACTAGGAAAATTTACAATGGGGTTAAAGACCTAGACCTACCTAAAAATGTCTCAATGGCTTCATTTATAAGAATTGACCATTGAATTTACAAACAAATAGTCAAAGGCCAATTAAGAGAATACAGTTTACAATGATCATGGACGTCTGGAATATTAGAAAAGTTGTTCCTTCCCTGAAAGAATTCAAGCCTACAGGGAACATAATTATTCCAACAACTAAATTTTGCAGGATACTTTAGCTCGAGCCAGATAAATATCTGGACGTTATTTTTATTATTTCATCCATTTTTACATTTATAGCTATATTTGTGTATATTACTCTTCTTCCAATGAGTGGGTCATGTGTAGATCTAAATCACTTCCTATAACACTTTATTGCATCTCTACTCCTCCATGTTGAGGTCTTTCTTCCATGTTAGCAGTTCATAAAGACCACCATCTCTCATATTCTTTGACATTATCTGCCTTCTACAACACTATGTTGGGATATTCTGAAGTGCTGGATCACCAGAGTCTGAGCCTTTGAAATCCCCAAGTCGCAAATTATTGAATTCCTGCCTGGGTGTCTTGAATAGTATCATCAGTTTCTGCTCAATAAAAGCAGACCATTGAGAGAAAGGATTCAGATGTGAGTGTCACATGCTTCCCCTGGTTATGCTTAAGACTAGAAAACAAAGACAAAACCTTTTCCCATTCCTCTGAGTTCATTACTACATGAAAAATGAATCAGACTTTAATTGTTCCCAATCTCAATTTTTCCGGTCTCCATCAGAGAACACAGCCAAAATGACAGGAGCCACCTGGGGTGGGGACAGTGAGGGTGTGGGAGTTGTGTGGTCATTTTTGAGGGAATGGCAAATATGTGGGTTGCTGCCAGAAGTGGCCAGCAGATAAAACAGCACATCATCTGTTCTCATTCCAAACACCAGTGGCAAGCTCCATCAGGAGGTGGAAAGAGGAGGAGACGGGGAGAGGGAGAAAGGGAGAGAGGAGGAGAAGAGGGAAGGGGAGAGGGAGGGAGACACCAAGGAAGGCACAGAAAAGCTCCAGGAGTGACCAAATATCCATGCTGTGTGTGATGAGCATTTGCACATCGATGTCCTCTAGCAGGGCATGAGGCTTTCTATGGCAGGGCTGTCTCAATCACCACTGTGGTCCCACCGTCTGCCTAGGACTCAACACACACTAGATGCTAAGAGAACATGTGATGATGGCAGGAATCAGCACATAGGATCCCAGGCCTCCTAGAGTCCACAGGCTCTCCTGGCTCCTCAAACATACTCAGGCACATAAACTTGATTCAAGGACAAAGTTGCTTGAATACGAACCCATTTCTATCTCCTTACTCATTCTGTCTTCTGTTTGCTTGAGCAAGAATCTGGAATAACTTTAGTAATAGCTGAACTCTGATCATTGTGAGATATTATTTGTGTCTGTCCCTCTGCTGGCACCCCTCCTTCTGCTTCTCTCCCCCCACCCCACTTCTGCTGATATACAAATCTCAGACACAGATATACACATAAAGCAAAGGGTTCATTCAAAAAAGTTGGGTCTAATTTATAATAACCAATGTGTGAGAAGGAAAGTTGACCTGTAACTTTGGGATTAATTCTGCTCTTTTGTTCTATAAGAATTAAACTCTACAAAAATAGGATTTGATTTTAATTGCACTCCTCCACTGTTTTCCTACTTTTTCTTAGTAAACCAAAAGTGTGTGGGTGTGGGTGCGGGTGCGGGTATGAGTATGTCTAAAAGCATCTGCATTGCAGTGTAGCAGGTCCGGTCACTGCCCAAGATGAGAGCATCACACAGGAATGCTGGTCGGAGTCCTGATGGCTCCACTTCCAGTCCAGCTTCCTGTTAAGGCAGTATTTGGGTCTCTGCCAACCATGTGGGAGACCTGGATGTAGTTCCAGGCTCCTTGCTTCAGCCTAGCTCAGGCCAGGCAGTTGAAGTCATTTGGTGGGTGAACCAACAGAGGAAAAGAAATCTTTCTCCATCTCTAACTGCCTTTCAAATAAATATTTTTTTAAGTGTTCTATGTTGAAGAGTAATTGTAATGGGTCTCTTATAAATATTGCCAATTATGTCAAACAGACCAATAATTTGCCTACAAAGGTCAACAAAACTATTTAGTTCAGAAACAAGTATATTACAGATACACCTGAACACTGTTTTTGTATAAAATGGTGTAAGATATCTTTTGATAGTCATCTGCTTTTAGGTAGAATGTCTTTCTCTTGACACCTAGAGAGAATGTAATTCAGCAGGAAGAGTAACTTGGGATTGGATTTTTAAAAAAGAAAGTATCTAACAATTCCTTCTGCTGTGGAGATTGGGATTGTAGGTTTTTATCATAACTGCCCTGAGAATCTCCTATTCCAGGAAAGTCTCCTAATCAATAATTCTTACTGTTAATACCCTCCAGGGTCAGAGAAAACACTTTTCAAATTCTTGGAAGTGCTGACACAAGATTAAAAAAAAAAAAAGCATTCCCTGATAATAATTCTCTGCTGTCATTTATTTATACTATCTTTAATATAGGCAAAAAGAGAGGCTAAGAAAGTACTATTTTAAGTATGGAGCAAAACTATTTTCATTACTCAGCCATATAAGGAAGTTAAATGCTACAGGGTCAGGGCAAGCAATAACAGAACACTGATAATCAAGAAGCTTCTGTTTTAAAATTTAGGAACGAAGAGAAATAGAAAATAATTGGGTAGGTCAGGTACGTGGAGGCATCAGAGCACTGCACACTCTCATTTTTCCAACTCAGTTATTTGTGGCGCTTCTAGGGTAATGGAGAAGAAACAGAGGGATGGTTGTTACGCTTTCAAGAATTTCAGAAAAGATAAACAGCTATTCTACTCATCTTCTGAGATGCACTGGCACATTTGTCATCAGAGCCCACACACCACAGCTTCAGTCTCCTCCTTGCATAAAGCCATTCCTGGGAGAAACAGCCTCCAGTAACACAGCACGGGCTGCACGTTTAGGTTGTCCTGCTGCTGAGTTCTAAATCTACTCTTTATTATCCACGTGACCCACAGAAAATTAACCTTGAAGTCTCAATTTCTTTTTGTAAAAAGGGTATAAATAATAGCAACTACTTAATGTAGTTGTGAGGGTTAAATCCAAACAGGATTATGCCTGATTCTCAATTAATCTTGTACTCTCACCATCTCTGCAACCACCACCACTACTGCCCCCACTACCAAACACCAATACCACTACAACCATAATACCACAAACACCATGACCACCACCATTCCCAGTCACATCACCCCAACTGTTAAAAATCACAACCATTACCCCTATCACTACCACCTTCACCTCCACACCAACACCACCATACCTAAAACCACCACCACACTACCATCTCTGCCACAATTTCCACCTTTACCATCACCACCTTCACCTCCAAATCACCACCATCATATCCAAATCTACCACAACCATCACTATGATCATCACCTCCACCACAATCAACACCATGACCACCATCACTTCCACCACCACTACTGGCAATATCATCCTAATTTCATAGTGAAGAAAGCTAATTCAGAACTTAAATAACTTTTTGAAAGCCACAAAGATAGAAGACGACAGAAATGGAGCTCTTACTTAGGTATATAAAACCCATTGGAGGGACCAGCGCTGTGGTTTGGCATGTAAAGCCACTGGCCGCAACACCAGCATCCCATACTGGTTCCAGTCCCAGCTGCTCCACTTCCAATCCAGCTCCCTGCTAAAATGCGCCTGGGAAATCAGTGGAGGATGGCCAAGCGCTTGGGCACCTGCTACCCACATGGGAAACCTAAAAGAAGTTCCCTGCTCCTGGCTTCAATCTGGCCCAGCCCTGGCCATAGCTGTCATCTGGAGTAAACTAGCAAATGGGAGACCTGTCTCTCCCTCTTTGTAACTTTAAAATTAAGAAAAAAAAAATAAAATCTCCTCCTGAGTTCAACTTTACCATCAGGAAATCAAACAAGGAAAAATGAAAGGTCCTTGGAGTCAAGGATCACCAAATGCTTCAGGATACCCAGAACCCCAGATTTCTAATGCCTAGGCCCATAAAGTAAAAACCAAAACAGAAAACTATGTATGGAAAATATCGTAGACTCTTTTTTTTTTGTTTGTTTGTTTTTTGACAGGCAGAGTGGACAGTGAGAGAGAGAGAGACAGAGAGAAAGGTCTTCCTTTGCCATTGGTTCACCCTCCAATGGCCGCCGCGGCCGGCGCACCACGCTGATCCGATGGCAGGAGCCAGGAGCCAGGTGCTTTTCCTGGTCTCCCATGGGGTGCAGGGCCCAAGCACCTGGGCCATCCTCCACTGCACTCCCTGGCCACAGCAGAGGGCTGGCCTGGAAGAGGGGCAACCGGGACAGAATCCGGCGCCCCGACCGGGACTAGAACCCGGTGTGCCGGCGCCGCTAGGTGGAGGATTAGCCTAGTGAGCCGCGGCGCCGGCCTCGTAGACTCTTTAATACTTGACTTACCAGATATCCTGAAATCCCTCTGGTTGCCCTGTTCTTGTGAGCACCCAACCTGAAGGCAAGTGACCCTCATTGTGTTTGTAGCTCTGTTTTTGCCCCTTGCTCCCATAGCTTCAACTGTCAAAGAGCACAATGCCTATCTCCTTATCTGACCCTGTTGAGACTTTGTAAGAAGGAAAGAAAATGTCATCTGGAGCATGAAGTGCTGAGGAGAAAGGCAGGAAATGAAAAGGCATTGTTTATTTAGCCTGGCTCTATAATGAGACAGCTGTAGGCCTGTGAAAAGAAAGGGTCCTGGCTGGCTCAACATTTGGCAAATAGATGGGTATTACGTGGATGTTATGCGAGCCAGGGGAGGAAGCAAAGAGGAGATTTCCTATAACTCTGCCCATGTTGTTGATCGCTTGCTCTGCCTCTTACGACCTTCTGGACTTTCCCACTACCAGACAAGAAACTGCAAGATAGCATGGAAAAGGCAACAGCTAAAGTCCCGCCTGCTGAGTCCACACCTTCCACTGAGCCGCTCTCCACTGGCTTACCCAAGGCAGTTATAGGAATTATCTCTGGTGCCACTGACCTATCTAACACTCTGCTTTCTTACCAACTTTTCCTGCCACTGGACACAAAGCAATTCCACTCTACTGTCACAAGGCTAATAGTTAAGAGTTGCGTGGCATTTATATAATAGGAGGCTAACATCTTTCCCACGCCAAGAATAAATCTCCAATGATCAAATTTCAATAACCATGTTAGAACATACCAAAGATCTAGGAAAAATTTATACAGTTTCCACAATACTATAATACCCCACACAGGTAACTTTACACCTCAGCTAACAAGGACAGATCAGCAAAATAACAGATATTGCTATTATGGGTGTTATACCCTCAAGATTGCTCCATTCAAAGGAATTAGGCAAAGTATGCTTAACTCTCCTTCCCTGGTTTCTGGTATCCTCAGGCAAGAAAAAGAAAATCTCTACTTCACAATGTAATATCAAATGGCCTCCATATTTACAAGATAAAGGCAATAGACTTGTTAACAGAGAAAATGGCCTGAGAGTGGGTGATAAAATGGGTAAGAAACTGCTCCAGTAGCTACTGGATTAAAGTATCCCAAAACCATTTCTACAGACCAAAGGCAAATACACAAAGAGTCAAATAAAACCCCGATAACGCTTTACAGGCATTCTTGTAAGTTTTCTTCAGAGAAAGAGGCATTGTGACAGAGGGATGAGGACATAAATTTTTAAGTCAAATAGACAAGAGCCCAAGTCTCAGATTAAATGACTTCTTACCACCTTGGAGAAATTATTTAATTTATGTTATATAATTATGTTAATTCTTGTGCAATACCACTTCATTGGGTTGCTCTAGTATTAAACATATAAAAAGCATTTGATAAAATTCTTAGAATATAGAATGTTGTCTAATAGCAATGTTTTTCTAAATTTTGTTTCTATATGTTCCATCAAAAAAAGGGTTCCAAAACAATGGTCCCTTTAAAGGACAGACTCTGATTTAAATACCCTTAAAATGATTTAAAATCCCACAAAAGAAAATGAACTTTCACTGAGGCTTTTTTTAAGATTTCTTTGAAAGGCAGAGTTACAAAGAGAAAGATTTTCATTAGTTTTAATAATTCTATATGCCAAAATTGCCCATACTCTCAGGTTTACCCAGATATGAGTTCATTTTTTTTAAGAAGATTTATCTGGTACCAGAACTGTGGTACAGCAGGTTAAGGCCACAGCCTGCAGAGCTGGCATCCAATGTGGGTGCCAGTTTGAACCCTGGCTGTTCTACTTCCGATCCAGCTCCCTGCTAATGCACCTTGGAAAGCAATGGAGGATGGCCCAAGTCCTTGAACCCTGTACCTACATGGGAGACCTGGATAGAGTTCCTGGCTCTTATCTTCAATCTGGCCTAGCCCCACCTGTTATGACCGCCTGGGAATCTTAAGATTTATTCATTTACTTATCTGAAAGTCAGTTACTGGGGCCAGCACTGTGGCACTAGAATCCCATATGGGCGCCAGTTTGTTCTGGCTGCTCCACTTCTGATCCAGCTCCCTGCTGATAGCCTGGGATGCTCCTATTTTTATAGTTATGTTCAGAAAACATACATTTACACAAACATCTTATAGTTACCATTTAGCATCAGACAATACTACATGTGGTTTGGCTCTAGAAATAGTGGAGGATGAGCCAAGTGCTTAGGCCCCTGCACCCGAAGGAAGCTCCTGGCTCCTGGCTTCGAGTATTCTCAGCTCTGTGAACCAGTGGATGGAAAACCTGTGTCTCTCCCTCTCTGTAACTCTGCCTCTCAAGTAAGTAGAGTTGAGTTACAGAGAGGAGAGACAGAGAGAAGCCTTCCATTCTCTGGTTTACTTTCCAAATGGTCTCAAGGCCAGGCGGAAGCCAGGAGCTCCTTCCAGGTCTCCCATGTGGTTGCCAGGGCCAAGTACTTGGTTCAAACTCTGCTGCTTTCCCAGGCAAATTAGCAGGGAGCTGGATCATAAGTAGAACAGCCAGGCTAGAACTGGGGCCCGTAGGAGATGCCGGTATCACAGGAAGCAGCTTAACCTGCTGTGCCACAGAGCCAGCCCCATGAGCTCATCTTTTTTTTTTTTTTTTTTTTAATTATTATTTTTGACAGGCAGAGTGGACAGTGAGAGAGGGAGACAGAGAGAAAGGTCTTCCTTTGCCGTTGGTTCACCCTCCAATGGCCGCTGCGGCCGGCGTACTGCGTTGATCTGAAGGCAGGAGCCAGGTGCTTCTCCTGGTCTCCCATGGGGTGCAGGGCCCAAGCACTCGGGCCATCCTCCACTGTACTCCCTGGCCACAGCAGAGAGCTGGCCTGGAAGAGGGGCAACCGGGACAGAATCCGGTGCCCCAACCGGGACTAGAACGCGGTGTGCCAGCGCCACAAGGCAGAGGATTAGCCTGTTGAGCCGCGGCGCCGGCAGCATGAGCTCATCTTAAACTGCATATCTGCATGTGTCTTTCCAATTATAGCTTCTGTGTACAAAAGCAAGTACAAATATGTTGTCCAAAAAATAAGGCTATGCTACAGGTTACAGGATATCTTCATAAAGATGTTGGTATTTTACAAAATACACATTTTCTCATTTCTCATTTGAGTGTAAGGAATCTACTTTGATTTTCTTCATAGTAGCAAAGTGGTAGGGATAGATCAGTTGCTTTCTAAGTATATGCTGATGAATACATATTTAATTCTCCTCTACCTCTGAACCAGTGCAACCTATTGGTGTTCTACAGAATGGCCTTGATGACTGAAAAAGGAACCCATAATTTGAACCCTTCAGTGTGTTTGAACTGTGCAATCTCATTGGCTTAGATAAAATTTCTTAACTATATTGTAACTGAATGCTAATTAACACTGGGAAAATGAGGTTATAACAAAATGGCAGCCTGGTTGACTTGGTCAGCAAGTCTTCTGCACATAATTCAGTATCATGAGAGACTAAGTTTTGGGCTCCTATTTTTATAATAGTTATATTCAGAAAACATACATTTACACAAACATCTTATAGTTACCATTTAGCATCAGATAATACTACATGTGGTTTGGCTCTAGAAATACTCATTCCATTATGAAAATATAATCCACAAGAGCAGAAATCCATTAAAATGCTAGAATTGCGCCATCCTAATTGTTTTGAATGAAGATTTATTTTAAAGGCGGAGTTACAACAAGAGGGAGAGAGAAGGAGAGAAACAGATATCTTCTATCCACTGGTTCACTTCCAAAATGGCCTTAATAGCCAGGACTGAGCCAGCATCTAGGAATTGTATCCACGTCTCCCACATGGCTGCTAGGGGCCCAATGACTTGGACCATTTTCTGCTGCTTTCCCAGGCACATTAATAGGCAGCTGGATCAGAAGTGGAACAGCTAGGACTCAAACCTGTGCCTGTGTGGGATGCTGGCATCACAGGCTGAAGCTGCACCTGTTGTACCACAATGCTGGTCCCTCCATTGCATCAGCACTTTTCCAAGGAAAATGCTATGTCTGAATATCACACACCTATCATTTTTCTGTTTTTTTTCATTTTGACAGGCAGAGTGGACAGTGAGAGAGAGAGACAGAGAGAGAAAGGTCTTCCTTTGCCGTTGGTTCACCCTCCAATGGCCGCCGCTGCAGCCGGCGCACCGCGCTGATCCTGGCAGGAGCCAGGAGCCAGGTGCTTTTCCTGGTCTCCCATGGGGTGCAGGGCCCAAGCACCTGGGCCATCCTCCACTGCACTCCCTGGCCATAGCAGAGAGCTGGCCTGGAAGAGGGGCAACCGGGACAGAATCCGGCGCCCCAACCGGGACTAGAACCCGGTGTGCCGGCGCCGCAAGGTGGAGGATTAGCCTATTGAGCCACGGCGCCGGCTTCACACACCTATCATTTTAATAGTTTACATGTGACACATTTACTGTATTATAAAGTATATTTTAATATATTGGATTTAAGGTAATATGTGCTAATAAACCTTGTTTAATGATATTTTATCTACTATTTTTCATCATTTCTGATTTCCCTACACATGATTACCCTTCTGTTTGATCACTTGAAGTTTTTAAACTATCATTGTATCAGGCTTTTTTTTTTTTTTTTTAACATCTGGCTGTTTCCTTACACTATTTTGTTTACTCCCAGAACTGAATCGCCCTCTCACATATAGGTAGGCTTTCATTCCTTAGAATGCTATACACTAGGAGCCAGCATGGCATATCAGGTTAAGCTTCTGCTTGCCATGCTGTCATCCCACGTTGGAGCGCCACACCGGCAGCCCATATTCAAGGCCCTTACTGTGCCTGGGAAAGCAGCAGAAATGGCTCAAGTATGAGGACTCCTACTACCCACATCGGAGACCCGTATAGAGTTCCAGGTTTCTGGCTTCCACCTGAATCAGTCCTGGCCATTGTGGCCATTTGGCAGTAGATCGCTGGATAGAAGGTTGGTCTCTTTGTATTTTTAAAGTTCTACACAAGAGAAAAAAACAGGTAATATAAATATCAGAATTATTTATTTTCTCTGGATTATAACATTAATTCCATGGAAATTGTACTATAGAAGTTTTATTTTGTACACCTTTATGCAAAAAGAAAAAATGATTGATACGAATGTCAGAGAGCTGTATTTGTTGAGATGTTTTACACATCATAATTCCTTAATATAGTAACAACCATACAAGAACATGTAATGGTAGTTACAACAAAACTTACCCAGGATAGATTCATTGCTTAATATATTAGGCTGTGGCTAGGTAAACTGATTTGCTAAGCAATATGTTGTGTAAATTTTCCAACTTACATTTTTTTTTCAAATCTGTATTTAATATACAATAATACTTATGATCTTTAAATCATCTTCCAAAAGAGCTATTGTTCCTAAGCTATAACTAAGTAATTAAGTTTGATTTATATCTGCATTGGTTAATTAATTTTAACATAATCCAGAACAGTCAAGCTGATATAAGACCTTGGAAGACCACATACAATTATGTAATACTTATCACCTCAGGCACCATGATTAAAGAACAATCAGCAGCAGTACTTTCAGTTTGTATTACCTACAAAACCACAAATAAAATTAGCATATTCTTGATTTACTTTTTATTCCCTCTTGAAAATCATGATTATTGGCACAGGTTTAGAATGTATCAGTGACTAAACTTACAATTAACTAGTGCATACATTTGTGTAACTATTTCATAGGCTTTTATACTCTAATTTCAAAATGTGTTGCAAAGAATGTTTTATTAGAGATTACATGAGTCACTAATCACTTATCAGTATATTTTCTCAAATACACATTTTGATCTTAGAAAAGGTCAAGTTTAAATAATTTAACTCATTTATGTAAGAATACAAATGAATAGGTACAGGCATTCCTATCTTATAAATTTAAATGATTCCTTATATACTAAAATTAAGATCAAAGATTAGGAATCTTTAGCATGTCTACCTACAAATAAAATGTTTGTGGTAAAAGCTTCTCAATGTTGATAAAAATAAAATGTACCTCTGACCAAGACTTAGTCATTTAGTTTTTTTGCAATGTGTATGAAGACTTTCTATATAATTTAAAATATCAGTATTGTAATTATCAGTTCTCGATATAAAATACTTTTCACTGGAAGAATAAAGTCATGATGGAAACAAACCAACCAAAAAAGATCAGGACTATCTTTTCATGAAGTCAAAGAATCAATAAGGCTACAGCCTCAGAATCCATCTTTCATCAGGTTTGGTCCTATTTCTATCTTCATTAATGACTCCTTAAAGTTTAAATCCAGATTTTTCCAGGAATGTCTTTATGATGCTTTGAAAAAAAAAATCATGAATTAGGGTTTTGTGCAAAGCATTAAGGAAATGAAAAAAAAATTTCAGTCTTTAATAAAGCTCAGTGATAAACAGCCCCATCTATTATAGTAGGCTTGGAAGAAAACCATCTCTCAACATTAACCATGGAACAGAAGGAGATATAAATTTACTCTTAATTTAAATTTACTCTAATTTCATTAGATTATGATTAAACTCTTCTGCTGGATTCTGACTGTATAGACCTGGCACTGGAGATGGTCAACAAAGAAAAGGATCCATTAAAAATTGTAATGGTTTCTAAGCTGCAAATATATAATTTTAAATTTTATTTACTTATTTTTATTTGAAAGGCAGCAGAGAAGGAGATAGAGAGATCTTCCCTTTATGGATTCATTCCAAAGGAAAAAAAAAATGTTTTACAACATCCTGGGCTTGTCCAGGCCGAAAGTCTGGAAACATATCCAGATCCCCCATGAGTGGCACGGATCCAAGTACTTGAGCTATACCCTACTGCCTCTCACGGTGCACAGCAGCAGGAAGCTGGAATCAAAAGTGGAGCCAAGACTTGAACCTAAGCATTGTAATATGGCATGCAGATGTCTCAGGGAGCATCTTAACCGCTGCACCAAATACTCACCCCTAAATATGCTCTTAAAATATTTTGTTTTGTTCTCTTTCTGTCTCTCAAACTCCCATCAACTCACTTCTCAAATATCAACATCTTTGGCTGGAGCCTAAACTGGGAAGCTGCGAGCACCATCTAGGTCTCCACTAGGTGGCAGGAACCCAATTACCTGAGCCATCAACACTGCTTCCCAGGCAGCTGGAGACAGGTCTAGTGTTGGAAATCAAGCCCAGATATTCCTGTATGGAATATGGGCATTTTACCCACCAGGTTAAATGCCTCTTCCTGCTAATACATATTTTTAAGACATTGCTGGAGTCTTTGGTGCTTAAGCGTAAGTTCCAGTCACCAATCAAATGTATTCAGTTACTAGACCTATTAAGCATCTACAGAGCTCGTCAATAACAAAACTAAAGATGAAAACACTTTTAAATTCTAGAAAAATGTAAAATAAACCGATACATTTTTCTTCTAAGAATAAAATACTTTGCTCTTTTTAAAATTTCAGGAAACTCTTTATGCTCTTTCTAAAATTTCACTTTTCAAGTTAATGAATAAAGTATAGTAAAAGTTTTATGGAACTGGAACTGGTGATTGATTTGGAATACCACTAAGAACATATATAGAGATGGTATCAATTCTTACCAATGTTTACCAATTCTAAGATTCTTAATTTTCAAAAGAAATCTAAATTTCTAAAGATGGAGTTTGGTGATATTCCTCCCTTAGCAACAGTAAATCAATTTAATTACATAGGGAGAGTATTTTAAATTGAGATTGGCAGAATAAAGTACTCCATCAAATCAATCTTCTTGTTAAAACCTTCTTCTACATTGTGCCATCCAAAAGAAAGTCAGGTATTTATGCTTTGGCAAAAGACCTGGATAGCAAAATAGAGAAAGTCTGTCCAATAAACTAGTACAGAACCATTATTCTTCAGGGGAAGCAAGACCAAGTTTTCATGGAAAAACATCATTAAGTCAAACACACAAATCACCAACTGAGTTCTATTTAAAAGCAACCCTTGTGATTTCATTTAATAAAATGAAAGATTTTAATAACATTCTGTATTCTTTTACATGGATTATAAGTACTACCTAGCACAGGAGGGTTCAGTAACTGAAATGATCAGAAAATATAATGGAAAAGAACTCCTAGCAGAGGAACAAAATTTATGCTTGCCAAACCAGGGAAGATTTAATTCAGTTTAAGACCTTTGGAAAAATTCTTTGTTTGGTATCAACAATATTATTATGTTACCATATCATGATCTTTTAGTAAAATAAGTGTTCTAACAAAACAAATGCCAATAAGTTCAATGAAAAATAGCAATGAAAATATTATTCTACACCAGCGAGTGGATTTTTACAAATTATGCTTTATTCAATTTCATTGTACTATGGTAACTATTCACCTCTGTAACACAACATTAAGGAGATATAAGGACACTGGTAGCCCCTTTCGGGAAAATCTGTACCCTTTGAACCCTTTTCTGTCTTCTCTCTGTACCTTCAGTAGAAGAAACTCCACACTTTGTGCACACTTACTTGCCATTTGATCATATTACATGACATTAGCAAAAGAGTTAACCATTTTTAGAACAAACTGCATTAAATATATTTTTCTTTCCTTAAATCTAAACTGCCAAAGCCTCACGCAACATAATCATTCATTGTAACATCCTTTGTTGCACTACAGATATAATAGTTCCTGTGTTCTTATCAGTTTGGACATTGCTCATTAACTCAAATTTTCTGTCTTATTTTCAGCGAGTTCCATGCAAAACCCTCTTCTGACCAAGCAGGGAGGAGCAGCTCTCTAGCAGCTCTCAGTGGAACAATCACTTAACAACTGGGCACCCTCTGTGACAAGATGAGCACAGCACTACTGTAAAGTGCCAGTAGGAAGAGTAATTGTTCCCCACCTCTTCTCTGGCTTGCTCTGTCGACGAGGATGCTAGGGAAAAAAGATCTTATTGCTCTCCTCATCATTATCATCAACTGAGTAAAAGGGCTAATTTAATCATGTGACACCAGATTGAACTAAATAAGAGCTGTACGGCTTTTCCCACATTGGCATAAAGCTAAAGAAGCAGAGTTGGTCATTAGTCATAATTAAGCATTAGCACTCAAGCAGAATCATAGTGTCACAAAAACACAATGATAAAAGCCACAGAAATATTTTCAGCCAGGCTTGGGAGCCAGGAAATTCTTTTCAGAGGTGTTTCCTTTGAGCTTTCTGAATTTGTACTAAGTGACGAAATTGGAGGTCTAGTGCGATACTTTAAATATTCCTTTTCTGTTTGTACACTATGTAATTCAAAACCGAATACACATCGTTCAACCCATCTTAATAGATCTGACAAACTGTGTCACAATATTCATTTCATCATGGTCTACAGTGTCCTTAAAATATGCAAAAGTATCCAAGTTATAATAAAATCTTGGTGTCAAATTAAGATATCTGGGTATAAAGCAAATTGGTAAGTGGCTTCCAAGCAAAGACTGTTATTTTGAAAATGTTCACGTATGATAACTATTCCATTCCTTGTATGCCATTTAAAAAATGGCGCATGCATGCACACATACTCAAAAATGTACTCAACCACACACACACACACGTATAAATATATAAAGAACTTACACAATTTCATCGTTCTGGAATTCCAGCTCTCCGCAAGTGTCCTCAAAGTCCTCCCCTCCACCTCTGGCAGTTCCTTCAATGGTTTTATAGGGAACAATAACATTTCCTCGGGCTCCAGATGTTCTCAATACTTTCACTTCCATGATTCCAATGCTCTCACTCACATGAGTCACAGATTCCTCAAAAGTAAAGATGCCTGCATGGTCATCATCAAAAATAGTCACGGTGGCGGTGCAAGGAGACCCCAGGCAGGCAAGTGTAGAGATATGATTGGCTTCCAATATGCCATCTTCAGAAGTTTCCGAAGATACCTTGACATTGCTGAGGTGCACAAGGAAATTTTCATCCTCCTCAAAGATATCGTCATCGATGATGCCAACTCTAATCTCCTTCTGGGTCTCCCCAGGCTTAAAGACCACAGTCCCTTCAGTAAATTCGTAATCAGACCCAGCATTGGCTGTGCCATCCTCTGTTCTGAAGTCAACAAACACAGTGTTGGTCAAATCACCCCCTCTACGGATAATGGTCAGGGCCACGGTACCGCAGTTCTCCAGACACTGATATGTCCCTTGTTCAAAGAAGATCTTACTGACCGGGTCATTTTCAGCCATTTCCGTGTTGACTTCATGCATGCTGACAGCCTTCCTAGCTTGGTCAGCTGCATGCCTCTTTAAAATGTTGCCAGCCCCAGTCATCAGGCGTGTAGCTTGAATACGGTAGAATGCTCGACTTTTTTGCTGCTGGCTTAGGACTTGGTAGTTAGCTAATTCTATTAATTGCTCTATTTCTTTCTCTGGATGCTTCTGCTTCAGTTCCTTCAGAATCCTGGCCATTTCGCGCCTAGCCTCTTCATCATCCTGGTCCCTCTCATCGACATCCAGAACCAGAGCGCCATCTAAGAAATTGTCAACATGGGAATTGACCACCTTGCCGTCCATTTCAATTTCAGTCTTGGAAGATGGCCTGTCTCCTTCATGTTCAATAATCATTCCTCTCTGCTTTCCAGCCCGATACCTCTTGTAGACATACTTGTAAAACAGAAGCCTCCTATCTGCCACCCAAGCAAACACCACACAGATGGGAAAAAAGAAGAAAGTAAGCAAACCTTCCCAAACTTCCACAATACCAGGAGAGATGACGGACAAAATGATGTAGAGCCAAGTATAGGCAAAGATGCTCCAAGCTGCCGTCACAAAGAATACACGCAGATGCTTTATCTTCCTTGTCTCTCCATCGGGGACCACGTAAACACAAAGTGCAATAATGATAAACATATTGAAGGCGGCACTGCCCACAATGGTGCTAGGACCTAGGTCTCCTGCAGTGAAGTTATGGCCACACACCTCAATTACTGAAAGGAGAATCTCAGGAGCAGAGGATCCCAGGGCCATCAAAGTCAAGTTAGAAACCGTCTCATTCCAGATCCTCACAGTTGTCTTAGTGGTTTCTCCATTGGGTTTCTTTATGGTTATTTCTTTTTCTTGAGATGTGATGACTTCTATGGAGGACATGAACCTGTCAGCTATGATAGAGACGCCGAGAAACATGTAGACCATGGCCACAAAATATACAGTAGCTCTAGCAATCTTGTCCCCAAAAGAAGGGTCTTGGGGTTCCCAAATGGGCAAGATCACTCCTTTCTTACAGTAATATGAGCCGGTACATTCACCAGTTTCATTTCCTTCTCCTTCCATTTCTGTCTCAGCACTTACATGGTCCACACGGAAAAAAAAGAGAGCTACAATAGCTAACAGATGAAATCCCATTGAGAAGGGGGGTGAGAGACTGAATCTCGGCATGTTGTGTAATGAGACTTGCAATGGTCCCAACCTACTGATAAAATAAGATGGGGCAGGGAGAGAGAAAAAGAAAATCACGTTACTGGAGAAAAATATAAAGCATGACAGGTTACTTATTTTTATAACTTCTACCAATAATTATTTGACCAACACAAAATCCCTGGTAAATCATTATTCTGACTCCATTGGTGATTAAGCAAACCTTTGTAAAATTTACAATTCAATCTCTCTACATGCAAGTTTTCTACATGCAATTCCCATTCATGGAGTAAGACACACACTGGCTTATTAGAAATGAAAAGTTTATTCCACTTTGACTATGGTCTTGTCTAAATAAGATCGGAGTTGGCGAACTCAAGAGGCTTCCATAGCCTTGGCAGCTCATGACAAGAGCCTCTGGTGATTACTGATGCCACAAATAAGGGTGTCCATTGTTAAATCAACAACAGGAGTCACTGTGCACCTGCTCCCCATGTAGGATCTCTGTCCTTAATGTGTTGTACTATGTGAATTAATGGCTTAACTAGTACTCAAACAGTACTTTTCACTTTATGTTTCTGTGTGGGTGCAAAATGCTGAAATCTTTACTTAGTATATACTAAATTGATCTTCTGTATATAAAGATAATTGAAAATGAATCTTGATGTGAATGGGATGGGAGAGGGAGAAGAAGTGGGAGATGGGATGGTTGTGGGTGGGAGGGAGGTTATAAGGGGAAAAAGCTGCTATAATCCAAAAGTTGTACTTTGGAAATTTATATTTATTAAATAAAATTAAAAAAAAGAAAAAACTATCTCTGAACGATGGACTATTACAACAATAACAAATAACTTCTTCAAAAAAGTTCAATTATAACCTTGCCTTGACAAAACACTTATGCATATTAATAGCCGATAAGAAAAATGCAGTTTTACTATACTTATAACTATGTACCAAATAATGACATTCACACAATCTCAAATTATGTGATAATATTCCTGTTTGAGAAAAAGTACATATGTAATACCTACATATGAAAAATACCTACATATTAACTGAATATCGAAAAGTTCTAAAGAAATCATTGTTAAAATTTTTTTAAAGATTAAAAACAAAACATTAAGCATTAAATGATTTCTTCTTTGTTGCTAAAGAAGATTTTTTAAAATTTCATTTATTTGGAAGAGTTAGAAAGGTCTTTCATCTGCAGGTAAACTCCCCAAATGGCCACAACAGCTGGAGCTAAGCCGATCAGAAACCAGCAGCTGCTTCTGAGTCTCAGGTGGGTGGAGGGGCCCAAGGACCTGGGCCAGCTTCTTCCGCTTTCCTGGGTCATTAGCAGGGAGCTGGATTGCAAGTGGAGCAGCCAGGACTCGAATCAGCCCCCTTTTGGGATGTGGGCACTGCAGGCCAGGGCTTTAACCCACTACGCCACAGCACTGGCCCCCTAAAGTAAATTTTCTTTTAAATAAAACTGTTTCATTGACACAATCACCTTAGTGAGATTGATGCTGTGAAATGTCAGACTCTGAGAAATCCTTTAACATATCCTGATTGTCTTTAATTCTGGAATATACCTTACACTCCAAATTTACTTAGAAACATATTAATCTTCAAGCTTGCCTGCAGCCAAAAGCTCAATGGCATTTATTATTGAGAGAAAAACTTTTTGCTGTAATGCATTATTTCCACACATTAAGGATAGTCCTTAAAAGCATGGTTTTGATGAGAGCACATTTCCTCCTAATTTTCAGCAAGCCCAGGTCGGCAGCTACATTAGCAGCTGGGTATCTGGTTCTCCAAATGCAGCTCTTCACATCTGTATACATAGGCTGTCCACAACAGGAAAGAGACACTGGCAGGCCCAGGCCTAGTCTTACTAAGAGCCTGGCAGGCTGTGAAATCAGCATTACCAGCCATAAAATGTCCCTTCTTGGTGTCAATGTCATACTTTCCATGGTCATTCTAAAACATATATTAGTTCTATAGAGGGCTCAAGTGATGGAAAAAAAAAAAAAGCAGCAATGATTCCATTTAACTAAATTAGCTCATGTGGCATAACAGTGACCACAAATGTGATGAAGGCTGTAGGCTATAGCAACAGAGTCACTGAGAAGTTCGAGGCGTTGGTGAGCAAAGCAGTGGACTGAGCCACCAAGACCCTAAATTTGCCCACCAGGTCCTGCCAAATGCAGCTCAGACCTTACTCACATCCTCTCTCTCTCCAGGGCCTGGGGTAAGAAGAGGGGAGACCACGGAGGTAGAAGATCTAATTGGAAGAACAGGGTAACTCTCTTCTGAAAGGCCTTATAGGTAAGATCAGATATGCCATAATCTTAACAAGTGATAGGAAAGGACCCCAAGTCAGAACATAGCATATGGTCTGTAAAGAAGTTCAAAGGGAAGCCAGGGCGAGACTTTCACAGCTTCAACCTGGTTGAGAGCCAATCCACCCACACCTATGTTCTCGGGCCCACATTCACCGATGATGACTGTACTGAAAAATGCCCCAGGGCCCAGAAGAATGCCCCTCCCCGGCACACACAGATGTTTATATTGGTCCTTCCATTTTTTTGAGATCTCACCAGTGCCTAAAGCCCTCTTTCAGCTCATCACTAAGGGAAGATGAGCTTCTTTGACACTTCACTCAAACTAAAGACAACCAGAAGGTAGTAGTGTTAGATTTCCAATAGAAGAGACATCCCAACATGTAAGAGTTCATGTCCAATCCCTTCAGGGCTTGGGCAGGTTGTGGAATCTCTGCTTAAAACAAGGTGGCATTCAACCAGCCTGCAACGGTAAAAGTAGATCTAGTTCCAAGGTCTTCATGCACCCATTCATTCTACAAACATTTATGTGTGCTTAGTGTGTTTCAGAATTACTTGCTAGGTTCTCCTCTAGTCTCAAGAATTCAGTCACTAAAATGCCTCTGTCTTCAATGAACTTAGTCTTATGTGGGAGGAAATATAGATGTCAGGTGGTAGAAAGAGCTATAGTGAAGACTAGGCAGAATCAAAGAGGACAGGTGTATGTGTGTCAGTATATTCACAGGCAAGGCATGCATGATTTTATAGTAGATGGTGAGGGAAGGCCTTTCTGATAAGGCGAGTTTTGAGCAAAGTCCTGAAGGAAGCAGAGGATCAAGACTTGTGTATATTTTTAAGAGAATTCCAAGCACATGTGAAGGTCCTGATAGTAATTGCTCTTGGCCTAACCCAGAACACAAAGAAACCCATCTGATAAGGAGCAAGGAGGAGAGATCAGGGCTGAGGAGCAGGGACTCAGCAGGAACAGATCACAGGGCACTCAGGCCACTGGAAGGCACTGGCCTTCATGAGCAGGAAGAGAGGGGAGCCAGGAACTTTCTGATCATACCAGCCCTGATCTTCCTTTCAGAACAGCCTCTCCTGGTCCAGTGGAGAACACACTACAGGGGCAAAAGCAAGGAGACCAAGTTTCGCCTACTTGGATAAAATCTGATTTATCAAGGACCCCAAGGCCTGGCAGCAGGACAGAATGAAGTAGTAGAAAGCTGGCATTTAAAAAGGAGACAAACATTTGCAAGATATTATTTTGGGAGGTTTTCAACTTAAAACATCTTGGGAACCTATCAGGATACATCAACAATTCATGGAAAAGAATAATTAAAAGATGTTTATATTGGTCATTTCGTTTTTGAAATCCACACATGTTTTCTTATAATACACATTTTCCATGAATTTTGCAAAGAGCTTTGAAGATCTCTCACATAAGGATTATAATGGCTAGATACAATAAATCCTAAATAAAAGTGATAAATACTGAAGGAAGACTCGAACCTGTCTGCAAGACTGTTAAGACTAACCATTCTCTTTAAATTACTGCTAAACCTCATCATTCCATTTTTCACATTTCAGTTGAAATGAGCTTCTTGAAAATGCATATTTGATATTCTCACTCACCTTGAAACCTTTCAGTGGTTGCATGTCCCCCTAAGGATAAAGAACATTCAATTGGCTATTCAAGATCTTTTATGATCTGGCCTCTGAACCCCAGAAATATGGAAATACCACTTTCTGAATAAAATAACACTTTCTTACCTCCAGGCCTTTGAGGAATGTGTTTTCCATGCCCCAAACTACCTGCTGTTTCCTTCTTAGAAGCAAGTTTCAAAATGGGACAACAGCAAATCATAGTCAACTGCCTGAGAGTGTACTAGCAGATTCCATTCTTCAATGCTGCTGCAGACACTTGGTCATTATTTACATGTATCAATATATCTAACATTTAGAATCTCAAGCATTGTTGTGTTATACTCCTCCTAGTGTTGTAATTTCCATTTGCATACTTCTGGCGTTGTACAATGCACAATACCCTAACAATAACCACACATACGAGGTATCAGTCTATTCTGGAGGTGGGATAATTGAGGCTCGGACAGGTTAAGCACATGTTGAAAATCACACAGATTATAAACTCTTGAACCAAACCTCAAACCTAGGAGAGTTTCCAAGACAGACATAATTAACTCTCCATTATATTATCCTGATAGTGTGTGAAGTAATCTTTGAGAACTATTGGACTTGGACTTCAACTAACACATTAGAAAGCATCTTGGCTTCCACACAGGTTTAGGAAAGCCTGATTAGAAAGGCTGAATGGAAGTTTTCCAACAGTCCGGCTTTTAACTTACAAGTTAGAGACTCAAACAGGTAAGTGTCAATAGCTGTGGTGTAACGTGTGGGCTGGAATGTCCCTGGAGACAGCCGTCCTTCACCCAGACTTTCACCGACTGCCTGGCAACCTCCTCTTGCAGGTACCGTCAGGACAACCCCTTTGGATGGCCACAAAAAAGCCCTACCCTTCAGCCCTGCCTGAACCAGGTATGTTCTTAACTGAAGGATATCAGATGTATAAAAGGGGGACAGAGTAGTAAAATTATTGCTAACAGAGAAAAAGGAAGGGACTGGTGAAGTTACATGAAGGTATCACAACTGCATTTAAAAGAGGACAATATTATAATCCACGAAATCAGTGGGCATAAAGCAAAGATAGAGCTTATTGGCC